AAGGGCCAGATGTATACAAAATGGTGTCGTCTGCGTAGAGGTGGATCTGAGAGGCACCAGCAGCAAGAGCGACATCATTGATATACACAGAGAATAGAGTCGGCCCGAGAATTGAACCCTGTGGCATCCCCATAGAGACTGCCAGAGGTCCAGACAACAGGCCCTCCGATTTGACACATTGAACTCTATCTGAAAAGTAGTTGGTGAACCAGGAGAGGCAGTCAGTTGAGAAACCAAGGCTATTTAGTCTGCCAATAAGAATGCGGTGATTGACAGAGTCAAAAGCCTTGGCCAGGTCGATGAAGACGGCTGCACAGTACTGTCTTTTATCAATCGCGGTTATTATATCGTTTAGGACCTTGAGTGTGGCTGAGGTGCACCCATGATCAGCTCGGAAACCAGATTGCATAGCGGAGAAGGTACGGTGGGATTCGAAGTGGCCGGTGATCTGTTTGTTAACTTGGCCTTCAAATACTTTCGAAAGGAAGGAAGGATGGATATAGGTCTGTAACAGTTTGGATCTAGAGTGTCACCCCCTTTGAAGAGAGGGATGACCGCGGCAGCTTTCCAATCTCTGGGGATCTCAGACAATACGAAAGAGAGGTTGAACAGGCTAGTAATAGGGGTTGCGACAATTTCTGCGGCTAATTTTAGAAAGAAAGGGTCCAGATTGTCTAGCCCAGCTGATTTGTAGGGGTCCAGATTTTGCAGCTCTTTCAGGACATCAGCTATCTGAATTTGGGTGAAGGAGAAGCGGGTGGGGGGGCATGGGCAAGTTGCAGCGGCAGGTGCAGAGCTGGTGGCTGGGGTAGGGGTAGCCAGGTGGAAAGCATGGCCAGCCGTAGCAAAATGCTTATTGAAATTCTCGATTATCGTAGATTTATCGGTGGTGACAGTGTTTCCTAGCCTCAGTGCATTGGGTAGCTGGGAGGAGGTGCTTTTATTCTCCATGGACTTTACAGTGTCCCAAAACTTTTTGGAGTTAGTGCTACATTTCTGTTTGAAAAAGCTAGCCTTTGCTTTCCTAACTGATTGTGTATATTGGTTCCTGACTTCCCTGAAAAGTTGCATATCGCGGGGGCTGTTCGATGCTAATGCAGTACGCCACAGGATGTTTTTGTGCTGGTCAAGGGCAGTCAAGTCTGGGGTGAACCAGGGGCTATATCTGTTCTTAGTTCTGAATTTATTGAATGGGGCATGCTTATTTAAGATGGAGAGGAAAGCACTTTTGAAGAACATCCAGGCATCCTCTACTGACGGAATGAGGTGAATTTCCATCCAGGATACCTGGGCCAGGTCAATTAGAAAGGCCTGTTCGCTGAAGTGTTTTAGGGAGCGTTTGACAGTGATGAGGGGTGGTCGTTTGACCGCGGACCCATTACGGACGCAGGCAATGAGGCAGTGATCGCTTAGATCCTGGTTGAAGACAGCAGAGGTGTATTTAGAGGATAAATTAGTCATGATGATATCTATGAGGGTGCCCATGTTTATGGATTTAGGGTTGTACCTGGTAGGTTCCTTGATAATTTGTGTGAGATTGAGGGCATCTAGTTTAGATTGTAGGACGGCCCAGGGTGTTAATTATATCCCAGTTTAGGTCACCAAGCAGTACGAACTCTGAGGATAGAAGTGGGGCAAGCAATTCATATATGGTGTCCAGGGCACAACTGGGGGCTGAGGGGGGTCTGTAGCAAGCGGCAACAGTGAGAGACTTATTTCTGGAAAGGTGGATTTTTAGAAGTAGAAGCTCAAACTGTTTGGGCACAGACCTGGATAGTATGATAGAGCTCTGCAGGCTATCTCTACAGTAGTTTGCAACTCCGCCCCCTTTGGCAGTTCTATCTAGACGGAAAATGTTGTAGTTCGGGATTGAAATTTCTGAATTTTTGGTGGCCTTCCTAAGCCAGGATTCAGACACTGCTTGAACATCCGGGTTGGCAGAGTGTGCTAACGCAGTGAATAACTCAAACTTGGGGAGGAGGCTTCTGATGTTAACATGCAAGAAACCAAGGCTTTTACGGTTACAGAAGTCAACAAATGATAGCGCCTGGGGAGTAGGAGTGATACTGGGGGCTACAGGGCCTGGGTTAACCTCTACATCACCAGAGGAACAGAGGAGGTCCTCTGTAGCTCAGCTGGTAGAGCACGGCGCTTGTAACGCCAAGGTAGTGGGTTCGATCCCCGGGACCACCCATACACAAAAAATAAAAATAAATGTATGCACGCATGACTGTAAGTCGCTTTGGATAAAAACGTCTGCTATCTGAGGCAGATTGAGCGGGACTGGGGGCTTTACATTGAATAAAGGCCCGATGATACACAGTGAAGACTGAGCATATGGTTTCTGTCAAAGACAGCAACTGGACACATTTTGAAGATTATTTAATTACTTAATCACTCTTTTATTCTGGTTGGGCCTGATGTTTTCAAGTTGATTATGTTATCCTTTTCATCCTGCTACTTCTCATTCTGCCCACCCCTGTTCTATCACGTACACTATCACCCAATAACCAGATCATAAACTAGTTGCTATTAACCAGCCATAGACTTGTCATTCTACACCCTAGGAGAAATGTATGCCTAATATTGCGATATTGGTACAACTGTAATCAAATCTAAGGCCTACACTGCCATCTTGTGTATAGAAAAAAGACAGCAGGGTTCACTTTCAGCAGTTCTGTTAGTTTTCACTCCCACCTGCACAGTACATTTATAAAGCATTTATATTGCCATCAGAAGGACTTGAATATGTAATATGTATCCATGAATTGTTTCTAAGGTATTTATGAACACTCTATTATAGATTATGCTTTGCATAGAGTATTTTCTTTCTATCTTCCAGACAGTTATTTGCCATTTAATTTAAACAGACATAGTGTATCATAAAAAGCAGTATGTCTCTAATGGTAGGCAAGGCTATTGTTCAATGAGCACTGCCTGTTGAACACAGCTCACATGGGCCTGGCCGGACCGCTGGGTTATGTATGTTACTGGACCAGGCGAGTTCTCCTTCCTCTGAGAATCACGTGACTATGAGTAGAGTGCCACAGCCCAAGCTCGCGCTGCGCATCCGCCCCTTGAGAGATGGAAAACAACATGCGCTAGACTAGAGGCTGGAGGCTGGAGTCTTCCTCTTCCATGATTGATTGAGGAACAATACTCATTGATAATATAGGCTTATTATTACCCCTGTATACATGTGAATTACATTTATACATGAATTATGGAAAAATACAACAGGGTATCTTACCAATATACAGTATGTGAGAAAAGGTTGTTGGTGATGAACTAATTATGTTACTAGAGCCTTCCCAAATATCATCACCTGACCCTCATATTAAAATGCATGACATCCATATAGGAATAGGCATATGCTCTGTTTTAGTTTTATATATATATATATCTTCATTATATGAACAAATAATAACCATATTAAACATCTTTATTATAACTACCTATCAACTATAACATTTTGATAAATTAGTATTATCCTCTTATTATTAGTAGCCTATAGTAGCCCAGACGCCTATGTAATAGCAGACTAATAGTATTCTGTTAGTAGTAATAACGTTAGTAGTAGCCTTATAGTAGGCGTGTAGCCCTTGTGAGTAGAATCATTCATAAGCTACATGTGGGCTATCCAAATGTCCATATACTTTCAAGTCGCACGCTTTTTACCCCAGTCCAGCTATCAGGCACAGTGTGATCATAATAAAGACGTCACTCTCTAACTGAGCCAGTTAAGTGCGCAGCTTTTAACTGTACAACTTCAATTTCAGCATGCTTGCGGACGACATAGGAATCTTCGGATCCCATCAGCGTGTGAACACAAATACACGGACCCTATTATTTACTTCGGGTCCGTAGCGAAGAAATCCTTATTTTATGGTGGATCTCAAACGGGGAGTTCAACGCTTTAGTGGCGAGCTTGAGTCGCTACAAATAGGAGGACACGAGGATCCTTAAAGGTATTTCTAACTGCGACACTGTATCAAAACTAGACATGTGTGCGCGTATCCCAGAGAAGCGCATTAGAAATATCACATTATAATGTTATTGGTTGGGCGTGAAAGCTGTCCACTGCGTAAAACTAACATAATTGAAATGGATAGGCTATGCTTCAACGTATGTGACTTCTGTTATCGGCTGTTGGTGTAGGATTCTAAGGAAGGCTGACGCCTGGTACGGTTAATACGACTCCGTTAATACGACTCATTTGCCCTGAAAACGAAAAGCCTTTACGCAGAGCGACATTTGTTTTGCTTCTCACCAATTCCAGAACATTTTGTGGGATAGGGTTATAGAATTCTGCAGAAGAGGTTATGAAATCCGGGAAAAGTGTACTACGCACTTAGATGCTCTGTTTTCATATTGGCTTTCAGAAGAGGCACGCCCACTTTTACTAACATTGTATGTGCAGGGGAAAACGTGTTTTTCAGACTGCCATTTGGTCTAGGTATATGACAAGTTTGACGTGCTTGCGGTTTCACTTTATTATAGGCCCGTTATTTTATGATTCCGTTGTTTTAGTCCAACATGATAAAAGAGTACGAATGGCACATTGTAGCACTGACCAGGCTATAATCCTTTTTTATGCAGTCCTTGGTGCTTTTGCTAACAGAAGGGGGCAGTGGTTCGCTCACGTACACGCATGCAGAAGTTTGAGTCATGCGTTTCATTTGGCTGTGTGTGTGTGTGTGTGTGTGTGTGGAGGGGGGGGGTCTTGGGAAATTACTTTGCCAATTGCTATTGATGTTATCACATCCCAGATCCTAGTAAAACGTGTTTTTGGAGTCAGGCACAACCAATTCACACAATACATTTTCACACGAACAGGCGATATCCTCCTTTAATACTACTGCTAACAACACAAAAATTGACTATTAAGAATTGGTGAAATAGGAAAGTGTTCTTTAGCACGATTGACCAGGACACTTCCATGTGTTTTGTCTTTGTGTCAGTGCCAGTAACTCCAGTCATTTCTATCATGGTGCAGGACCATGGAGGATGCCCCAGAAGCCCCTGTCTCAGACCCAGCCCCAGACCTGGCCCTGATCCCAACCCCAACACCTTGTCCTGCCTCCAACATACCCTCCCGTAGCCTGTTGGAGTGGAGGAAGAGGGTGAAGTCTGAGTACATGCGCCTCCGTCAGCTGAAACGCTTTAAAAAATGCAGAGGAGGTCAAGGTGAGGATAATGAGAGAGAGAGTGAGAGAGAGAGAGATTGTGTGTATAGGTATTCCAAACTATTCTTACATTTCCTGTCTTTTCCAGGCCTTGTTCATGTCCAACCGGCAGAAGATAGAGGAATGTACCAACCTTCTGAACGAGGAGTGGTCCAAGCTGAGGATCCAGTCAGTTCCCCTGTCTACCCCAGGTGGACCGCTGCCCGGCAAGAAGGTGAAAGAGAGAGAGAATGACAAAAGGATAGAGAGACATACAGTAGGGGGCGACGCGTCACATTTTCTGGTCTATCCAGACAAAGCAACGATTTCCTGTGACAGTGAACCTCGTAGCTGCACTTAATATAATAATATAGTATATGATAATATGCCATTTAGCAGGCAGACGCTCTTATCCAAGCGACTAACAGTTAGTGAATACAACTTTTTTTTTGTATATGGCCCCCTGGGGAATCACCACAACCTTGGCTTGCAAACGCCAGGGCTCATCAACTGAGGCTACATCCCTGCTGGCCATTCCCCCCCTACCTGGAAAGCGCTGGGCCAATTGTGCCACCATGAGTCTCCCGGTCGCGGCCGGCTTCGACAGAGCCTGGATTGACCAGATCTCTAGTGGCACAGTTAGCGCTGCGATGCAGTGCCTTAGACCACTGCGCCACTCAGGAGACATAACAGTTTCATCTCGCATCATCTCTGATCATCTCTTCATCAACATCATCTCTGATGTTCTCAGATGGATTTATAGCTCTCAACTGGAAAAAATACAAAATAATTTCGTAGAATTGAAACAAGACCACTTTCTCTTGGTCACAGATGGACGAAATCACTTAGTGTTTAAATATTAGGTTGTAACGAGTCTGCACCAAATACTTGAATACATGTAATTTTGTCCTTGAAACATTTAATTGAAATACTTTAGAATTCCATTCATTCCTATGGAGGACTGCTCCTACTGCGGAGTGCCAATATGGCCGACCAGTGGCTTCAAAGCCTCTCAATGGCCAATACATAGTGTCAGTAATCCAGGGTTTGTATACATTGTTAGTCTGCACACATTTGAATGGTGTCTCTGCATTGCTCAGAGAACGTTTGGCACAAAAGTCTCAGTCGTCAGTTTTATGAAATGGTGCCAATATTGTACTTTCACTAAGTTTGATCACATTTATTTTACAGTTATAAGAAAGGTGAAATCTTATAGTAAGTCGTTTATAATTTGATTGTTACTATATTTAGAAAGCATTTCAGTAATTTCAAGCCCTATTGCGCCACTTTTGTTGAATAGGGAAAAAATCATATATAATGTTTCATATTTTCATAGTATTTATACTATATACTTGAGTTTGTGTCCTCAAAAGTGAGTACACCTCAGCAATTTATAAACATTTTTACCAGAAAGGTGAGTTCTAGACCTTTCTAAAAAATGACAGCACTACCAGTTATTGTTTATGGCCATCATGAAAAATAATAACTTTTGTGTATCTGTATTTAGGGGGAAATCTACATTTTGGCCTAACGGTCAAAATTAACTAGCCCTTTCAAGCCCATTCTGACTCCTGCCTCCTCATTAACCAGGGAGATGCTGAGCTGCCAAAAAAGGGTTCATGAGGCTGTCTTACCGAGGTCAATAACGAAACTCTCTCAGAACCTATGATGAAAACAGCCTGGAGGCAGACTGAGCAGCATCTTGTGTTCAGAAATTCTCACAATACACTTCTCTAGAGTCTTGGTATTTGTTTCTCAGTTCATTTCAGTGTAGTGTCAGTGGATGTAGCAACGTCTTTATCCAGTTAGGTAATAGTAGCCTACCTGTTGGTTATAATCCAGTACTGGTCTGTCCTCTGTCATACTCACCCCTCTGTCTCTGGTCCAATCACAGTTGTGCATGGTGGAGTTTGGCTTCCCAGCGTTTAAAGCTCAGGCGGTTGCCTTGCGGCCCCTGACGACCGTGGCAGGAATCCCCTTCATGTACTCCTGGTCCCCTCTGCAGCAGAACTTCATGGTATGGGGCTTTCCCGACAACACACACACACACATGCACGTATACACACACACACCAGGAAAAACCCACGTCCTTATTCCACTTGTGTAATAACAATAAACGCTCAACTCCATCTCTATGCAATAACAAAGTAATTCTCAATTACTGTGCAACAACATGATAGGTCGCTTCTAACGTTACTACATTGTTATTACACAGGTGTAAAAACCCTAATATGAACATATGCACACAGATTATTAATGTACCACATTAACACTCACACACACACAGCCAGATGTGAGTATGTGTGTGTTTCCTAGGTGGAGGATGAGACGTTCCTCCATAACATCCCCTACATGGGAGACGAGGTGTTGGAGCAGGACGAGGCCTTCCTGGAGGAGCTCATCGACAACTACGACGGTGTCCATGGAGACAGAGGTGACCTGCCTACCTACCTAGACTAGGGATCTCATCCTTTCTGTCCTGTTTTGATTACACACACTGTCAGTCTGATTTATCAATTCGTTATTTTATTGGAGATGTGGGGTTAGGCGTGCTCTCTGATGTCATCGGTACAGTAAGTGCGTTGCTGTGTGCTGCTGGGGTAATCTTAATTGTTTAGGGGATATGTGCTGACGCATGTTGTATGATGTCATCAGTAGGCGCTGACATGTTGACTGTGTGGTTTGTCTCCCAGAGGGAGGGTTCATCAACGATGAGATCTTTAAAGAATTAGTGGAGGCACTAAGCCAGTACTCAGACCAGGAGGAGGAAGAGGAGGGCAGAGGAAAGGGGGGTACAGAGGAGGAGAAGGGGGTGAGGAAGAGCTCTGGGGAAGGGACTGAAGAGACCAAGGTGGGGCCCACAGCCTTCTTCAGGAGGAAGAGGAGGAGTGTCATAGAGGGTAAGTGTCCTCCAGAAACTTTTGACTGACACATGTAACCACAACTAACATAGTTCATGTCTCCTAGATATGATTGGATGCTTATCTAACAAAAGGCAATACATGCTGTTTTCTATATAAGAGTCACTGGTCTTACTATGCTGGATTATCGGTGTGCATGCTTATTTGTCTTTGCATAGACTTGTCCTCCTACTCTTATCAGTGGCATGAGAGAACAGCAGGTACAGGTCAGGCTGATCACTGTGACTGTGCTGTACCCCATGTTGTACAGGAGCCAGCAGGGACAGACAGGGTGGTGGGGGAACCTGTTTGGTCTGAACACCGGTACAATAAGACCAGGCTACAGTTACAAGGCCCTGTGACCTCTGGCACATTGAGAGCGCTGGAGATTATGGGAACTGGGGGGGGGGGGGGGAGCTACTCTACACACTGTGGCATCAGACACTGTCACTCAGTGTCAGAACACATCAGTATGACAAACACCCTGTGCCACTGGTACTCTCTTATTACACAGAGTACATGGACAAACAGTCCTTCTTAATAGGCACAGGACTTTGCTATCGTTCCAATATGATTGCTTACATGGCAAAAAATGCAACACAATTACATCTCAACGGGAATTGGGAACTAGAAAAGGGGTGGTTGAGTTGCTAATGATCTGCTCTTTGCTTTTCTTCTCACCACCTTCCTTAGTGAGGGATTTGCCTGCCAATAAGAAGATCCCGCATGAAAAGATATTCACGGCCATCGCCTCGATGTTCCCCTACAAGGGTACGACTGAGGAGCTGAAGGAAAAGTAAGAAAAGTACCCAACAACTGTGCTGTGCTTAGCCGAGCGTTGCTTAGTGTTCACCATGGAGATGGGAGCTCTCAGGGAGATGCTAATAATGCTCTCTGCCCTCTCTTCTCACACTCAAAAGAGAAGTTGTTGCATCACCGTCTGAAAAGCCTTTTTCTTAGAAAATACCGCAAACTTAACACACATCCAAATCCACCTGCAAATGAGCATAGGCGAGGGGTCGGCAACAGGCCGCCCGCGGGCGGGTGATTTATTCTGGAGCTAAAAATTAGTTTCATTTAGGAAATCTGTTCCCAAGTGTCTCAATGTAAACAAGGTATGAAATTATAGTTATTTTCAAATACAATCTGTTTTGGGGCTTAGTTGTGGTCAATTTGCAATGTACAAATTAATATAATTATGTTCTGGCCCCACAACCATCCACTCCGACAAAAATCGGCCCGCAGCTGAATCTAGTTGCCTACCCCTGGCATAGGCCTACTCGAGTCAGAATACAGCTACTTACTGTAGTTTCCCGCTTCTACTGTATATCATGCCATATACCATGCTCATACAAAATACAATCTTGATACAAAGTTATATTATACATAGAAAGGCTATGTTTTGTTTTATCCTCTTCTTCCCCAAATGACACCTCCCTAGGTACAAGGACCTCCTGGAGCCCCCCAGCCCGGTAAAGCTGCCCCCCCTGTGCACCCCTAACATAGACGGGCCGTTCGCCAAGTCTGTCCAGCGGGAGCAGTCCCTACACTCCTTCCACACGCTCTTCTGCAGGCGCTGCTTCAAATACGACTGCTTCCTCCACCGTAATGTGTCCTTTGGGTTTGACTATTTTCTCTCACTTTCTGTATCTCTCTCTAACTCTCTCTCTGTGTTTTTAACCTATTGACATCTGTCAACATGTGGCTTTTCCTCTAGATTTCTGTTTTTATTTTTTCTCTGTCTCACTCAGACTCTTGGAATCAACACATCTCTAGTGTTATAATAAATGCATTATTACTAACCAGGACAAACATATTTTCATGACTTCACTAATATCATCAAAATCTATAAATCATAGCACGTTTTTGGACTCATTCAGTAGTTTTTACCCGATCAAGTAGAATTCTGTTTAAAAAATCATTTTAAAAGTACCATTTATATTCCTAAAACATACATTGAAAATGACACTGTTGCTGCTTCCTGTTGTCATGGCTTTTTGATTTATGGCCGTGTGTCAAAACACCGGTTTTAGATGTCCAAATTCATAATCAATATGCTGCAATAACTTGTGATATTTTGAAGACCAATACATACAAGTTACACCCTACACACACGTGTCACACATGTTCAGAATACTTGTATTTTGCAAAATTAGCGCCTTACAAACTGAAGAATGGAATTGATTAGGTTGTTCACTCACATCGATATTGTATTGAAATCAATAGAACTAGGACAATAACCGTGGTGATATGTACCGTTAGCACTCTTCTAACAGACAAACCTCAATGAACTTGGGTATACTACATATATCTGTCGAAGGATGACAACCTGTCATCAATACGGAAAAGGAAACACTTTTTGGACTGGATAATTTCAATGAATCACCACTTCACCATCGGTTTCTAATAGCAACAGGGGTTGGCGTTCATTTGAATGATAGTTTAACCCTCAAATCCATTAATTCATGTAATGCCAGAGATGTTTATGGGAGGAGCGCTCATTGTTTTTCTAGCTACTGTGGTCTGAAAATGACAGCTGCGTTCTAAGTCCACACTGAGAATGTATCATCTAATGCACAATTGTGTTGATTCCCGCCATTGGTTCATTTTGGTACAGCATGTCACCATATCTGATTATCAGCTGTTTTCAAACACACGTTGGTCTCAAAATGATTATCTTCCTCAACAGTGTGCAGCGAATTCTACTAAATGGAAACCCTAAATTAGTATGACATCCTGGCATTTAAAGCATACAACATTTTCAAATACTAGAAAACGTTATATTTTCGCATATTTAGAACGCAAGTATGGGTATTCGGACACAGCCACTGGTACTAAACCAAAGATCATGATGACTATAAACTGTAATATTAACATCACCAATCTGAGGTAAAAAGGATGTGTACTTCCTGCTATTCTTGTGTGGTAAAAACATTAGTATGTGTAATATAGTAACACATTCTGTCCACCATAGGGACATTAAAGTAATATAACATAAATATGTCAAAGTAATTCAATATTTTAATATATGATGATAGTAAATGTAGCAGACTCATACATGTTTACAACAATGACATATATTCCTTCCTACTTTAACCATGCAGACAGTTTATATGCTCCTAAGCACAATTTAACCAGAATCTCTAGAGCATCCATAGGGTCTGTGCAGCATGCTGAATGTTTTACGTCCCTAGTATTACTGTTCTACTAACAAGTATACTGATAGTAACAATATACTGTATGTGTCTTTCCAGCTTTTCACGCTACACCCAATGTTTACAAGAGGAAGAGCAAGGAGATTCGCATGGAGACAGAGCCCTGTGGTCTGGACTGCTTTTTGCTACAGGTGTGCTCAGATCCTCTACATGTCCTCTGTGTTTAACTGCCCGACAACATACATGTTCTGATCCATTCAGCCCTACTTTAACACTCGTCTATCTCTTCATTTCTGTCCCTCTCATCCTCTCTCCCTCCTCTAAAGAAAGGGGCCAAAGAGTTTGCGGATCAGGAGATGCTGCGCTCCCAGAAGTCCCGTCGCCGGCGGCGAAAGCCACGCCCGCCGAGCTCCAGCTGCCCCGGCCCGTCAGGCACCACTGAGGAGGCCAAGGAGGGGGATAGTGAACACGAGACCACCAGCTCCTCAGGTAGCTTGGGGAAACACTAGTTTTATAAGGGTCAAGACAGACCAACACGAACATCGGCCGTGCGCAGTAGATCACCTGTTGGGTGTCAACAAACGGTGGCGATTCAACATGTAGAATCATTGGGAAATTAACAGAAAATGACAGCCGATGTTCTGAGGTCAGAGGCGATAGGACGGCCACCCCCTGCGCGCGGCCGATGTTCATGTTGGTCTGTCTGGTCCGTAAGTACTTTAAGAGACAGACAAACTCTTCAATTATGGGAAAGACTAGCTTCTAAGGTACTATTTATTCATAGGTTGCACCTCCGTCACTCGGTCGCGTCATGCCATTGTTATGAACCTTCTCAAGCCATAGTGGTGCCCTAAAGTCGTGATAAGCCCAGTCAGTTCTGGACGGAGGCTAACGACTGTTTAGTCTAAATTACACTATAGTGCCTGGAAATACGATTACATTGCTAAAGTAGTCAAATGTTTAGTAGTAAAAATCCGGTGTCCTCCCCTCAATCTTAGCTAACAATCTTAGCTAACAAGCTAACGTTATACTGCATCTAAAGTTTGAAGAATGGCGCCGAAGAAGATGGCTACCGTTTTACGGGGTCCTAACCAATTGTGCTATTGTGTGTGTTTTTTTCGCGTTATTTGTAACTTATTTTGTAGATAATGTTTCTGCCACGTCTCTTATGACCGAAAACAGCTTCTGCATATTAGAACAGCGAATACTCACCTTGTACTGGACAAAGATTTGTTTCTTTAACGAGTCGGACGCAAAGGATTTTCTTCAGACACCCGACAAGGCCCAAATCCCCGTCATTCGCAGGAGAAAGAGACGTAAGGACGTAGTACGGGGTGCCTTGTAAGGATCCGACGGCGAGTGGCTAATCTGCCTCTACCATCAGTCCTATTAGCCAACGTACAATCATTAGATAACAAAATAGACAAACTACGATCATGGATATCCTATCAACGGGACATTAAAAACTGTAATATCTTATGTTTCACTGAGTCGTGGCTTAACGACGACATGGATAACATACAGCTGGCGTGATATACGCTGCATCGGCAATATAGAACAGTTGCCTCCGGTAAGACAAGGGGTGGTGGTCTGTGTATATTTGTAAGCAACAGCTGGTGCACAAAATCTAATATTAAGGAAGTCTCTAGGTTTTGCTCGCCTGAGGTAGAGTATCTTATGATAAGCTGTAGACCATACTATTTACCAAGAGAGTTTTCATCTATATTTTTCGTCGCTGTCTATTTACATTTACATTTACATTTACGTCATTTAGCAGACGCTCTTATCCAGAGCGACTTACAAATAGGTGCATTGACCTTATAGCCAGTGGGATAACCACTTTACTACGTTTTCTTTTTTTCTTTTTCTTTTTTGGGTGGGGGGGGGGGGTTGGAGTAAAGGGGGGGGGGGGGGGGGGGGGGGGGGGTAGAAGGATTACTTTATCCTATCCCAGGTATTCCTTAAAGAGGTGGGTATTTCAAATGTCTCTGGAAGGTGATGAGTGACTCCGCATCCTATCCCAGGTATTCCTTAAAGAGGTGGGGTTTCAAATGTCTCTGGAAGGTGATGAGTGACTCCGCTGTCCTGGCGTCGTGAGGGAGCTTGTTCCACCATTCGGGTGCCAGAGCAGCGAACAGTTTTGACTGGGCTGAGCGGGAACTATGCTTCCGCAGAGGTAGGGGAGCCAGCAGGCCAGAGGTGAATGAACGCAGTGCCCTCGTTTGGGTGTAGTGACTGATCAGAGCCTGAAGGTACGGAGGTGCCGTTCCCCTCACAGCTCCGTAGGCAAGCACCATGGTCTTGTAGCAGATGCGAGCTTCAACTGGAAGCCAGTGGAGTGTGCGGAGGAGCGGGGTGACGTGAGAGAACTTGGGAAGGTTGAACACCAGACGGGCTGCGGCATTCTGGATGAGTTGTAGGGGTTTAATGGCACAGGCAGGGAGCCCAGCCAACAGCGAGTTGCAGTAATCCAGACGGGAGATGACAAGTGCCTGGATTAGGACCTGTGCCGCTTCCTGTGTAAGGCAGGGTCGTACTCTCCGAATGTTGTAGAGCATGAACCTACAGGATCGGGTCACCGCCTTGTTGTTAGCGGAGAACGACAGGGGTGTTGTCCAGGGTCACGCCAAGGCTCTTCGCACTCTGGGAGGAGGACACAACGGAGTTGTCAACCGTGATGGCGAGATCATGGAACGGGCAGTCCTTCCCCGGGAGGAAGAGCAGCTCCGTCTTGCCGAGGTTCAGCTTGAGGTAGTGATCCGTCATCCATACTGATATGTCTGCCAGACATGCAGAGATGCGATTCGCCACCTGGTTATCAGAAGGGGGAAAGGAGAAGATTAGTTGTGTGTCGTCAGCGTAGCAATGATAGGAGAGGCCATGTGAGGATATGACAGAGCCAAGTGACTTGGTGTATAGCGAGAATAGGAGAGGGCCTAGAACTGAGCCCTGGGGGACACCAGTGGTGAGAGCACGTGGTGCGGAGACAGCTTCTCGCCACGCCACTTGGTAGGAGCGACCGGTCAGGTAGGACGCAATCCAAGAGTGAGCCGCGCCGGAGATGCCCAGCTCGGAGAGGGTGGAGAGGAGGATCTGATGGTTCACAGTATCAAAGGCAGCAGACAGGTCTAGAAGGACAAGAGCAGAGGAGAGAGAGTTAGCTTTAGCAGTGCGGAGAGCCTCTGTGACACAGAGAAGAGCAGTCTATTTACCACCACAAACCAATGCTGGCACTAAGACCTCCCTCAATGAGCTGTATAAGGCCATAAGCGAACAGGAAAACGCTCATCCAGAGGCGGTGCTCCTAGTGGCCGGGGACTTTAATGCAGGGAAACTTAAATCCGTTTTACCTCTTTTCTACCAGCATGTTAAATGTGCAACCAGAAGGGAAAAAACTCCTCTTCTTGTTCGGGCAGGCTTCGGCATTCGTCGTCACCGCTCCTCATCTCATCATTCCATTTGTTTTGTCTTGTTTATTACACACACCTGGTTCATATCGCCTCATCAGTACCTGTATAAGTGTTCCCTCTGCCCCCTTGTCTTTGTGTTTATTTATTGTGGAGGTTAATATAGCTAGGTGGAGCTCTTTTGTATTGTGTATCACCGGGATATTCACCCGTGTGCCTTGTTGTTTTCCAGTGCGCAGTATTTCCACCCCCGCATTGTTGCGTACCGCTGTGTTACAGACTAAACCATTTATCCTGTGATTTACCCTCCTGTGCCTGACTCTTTCAAAATCACGCACCACAACAGGACTAAGATTGAATCGTAGTACACCAGCTCCGACACTCGTCGGATGTGGCAGGGCTTGCAAACTTTTACAGACTACAAAGGGAAGCACAGCCGCGAGCTGCCCAGTGACACAAGCCTACCAGACGAGCTAAATTACTTCTATGCTCGCTTTGAGGCAAGCAACACTGAAGCATGCATGAGAGCATCACCTGTTCCAGACGACTGTGTGATCACGCTCTCTGTAGCCGATGTGAGTAAGACCTTTAAACAGGTCAACATTCACAAGGCCGCAGGACCAGACAGAATACCAGGACGTGTACTCCGAGCATGCACTGACCAACTGGCAAGTGTCTTCACTGACATTTTCAACCTATCCCTGACTGAGTCTATAATACCAACATGTTTCAAGCAGACCACCATAGTCCCTGTGCCCAAAAACACTATGGTAACCTGCCTAAATTACTACCGACACGTAGCACTCACGTCTGTAGCCATGAAGTGCTTTGAAAGGCTGGTCATGGCTAACATCAACACCATTATCCCAGAAACCCTAGACCCATTCCAATATGCATACCGCCCCAACAGATCTACAGATGATGCAATCTCTATTGCACTCCACACTGCCCTTTCCCACCTGGAAAAAATAAACACCTATGTGAGAATGCTATTCATTGACTACAGCTCAGCGTTCAACACCATAGTGCCCTCAAAGCTCATCACTAAGCAAAGGACCCTGGGACTAAACACCTCCCTCTGCAACTGGATCCTGGACTTCCTGATGGGCCGCCACCAGGTGGTAAGGGTAGGTAACAACACATCTGCCACGCTGATCCTCAACACGGGGGCCCCTCAGGGGTGCGTGCTCAGTCCCCTCCTGTACTCCCTGTTCACCCATGACTCATGGCCAGTCACGACTCCAACACCATCATTAAGTTTGCCGACGACACAACAGTGGTAGGCCTGATCACCAACAACGATGAGACAGCCTATAGGGAGGAGATCAGAGACCTGGTCGTGTGGTGCCAGGATAACAACCTCTCCCTCAACGTGATCAAGACAAAGGAGAGGATTGTGGACTACAGCAAAAAGACGGGGCTGTAGTGGAGCAGGTTGAGAGCTTCAAGTTCCTTGGTGTCCACATCACCAACAAACTATCATGGTCCAAACACACCAAGACAGTGAACAGGGCACGACAAAGCCTATTCCCCCTCAGGAGACTGAAAAGATTTGGCATCGGTCCTCAGATCCTCAAAAGGTTCTACAGCTGCACCATCGAGAGCATCCTGACTGGTTGCATCACCACCTGGTATAGCAACTGCTCGGCCTCCGACCGCAAGGCACTACAGAGGGTAGTGCGTACGGCCCAGTACATCACTGGGGCCAAGCTTCCTGCCATCCAGGACCAGGCGGTGTCAGAGGAAGGCCCTAAAAACTGTAAAGGACTCCAGTGACCCTAGTCATAGACTGTTCTCTCTGCTACCGCAAGGCAAGTGGTACCGGAGTGCGAAGTCTAGGTCCAAAAGGCTTCTTAACAGCTTCTACCCCCATGCCATAAGACTCCTGAACAGCTAATCAAATGGCCACCCAGACTATTTGCATTGTTCCCCCCACCCCCTCTTTTACGCTGCTGCTACTCTCTGTTTATTATCTATGCATAGTCACTTTAACTCTACCTACATGTACATATTACCTCAATTACCTCAACTAACCTGTGCCCCCACACATTCACTCTGTACCGGTACCCCCTGTATATAGCCTCGCTACTGTTATTTTACTGCTGCTCTTTAATTATTTGTTATTTAAATTTTTTACTTATCTATTTTTTACTTAACACTTATTTTTCTTAAAACTGCATTGTTGGTTAAGGGCTTATAAGTAAGCATTTCACTGTAATGTCTACACCTGTTGTATTCGGCACATGTGACAAAGTCAATCTGGCGACATCAAAATGATGACAAAAGGTTTTCCTTCTAATGATTAGCCTCCTTTTGAATGGCATTGTATTTCCAAGCCACTGTAATGCACTTTTGATTAAATCTTCATCAGTGCTCATTGACGATACATTGAGTTGAATGCTCAGTTGGGCATCAGTCCATAACGAACGTTCAAAACAATATTGTGACGAAACATGCAACCCATGAGTAGGAGACTACCAGCTTCCTATCTTCTTAGATAGGAAAACACTAATGCCTCAACTACTACGCTATTACAGTATATCTGTCATACCTCAGTGTATTACTGACAGAATGGATTGACTAATTCTCACATGCCAGAATGGTTCATGTGTGCTGAATGCAGTACATCAGCAAAGAGAACCTTGGCTGAAGATGACAGTTTTGAAAAACCATTCGCTCTCTCTCACTCGCTATCCAAACACAACAATCCAACCATGGGTTTTGCACGCTTCAGCCCCAAAACAAACAGATTCTTCACTCAGCCCCTCCCCCCGGTTTCCTCTTTCTGTTGAGAGACTGATGTGGAGAACAGTGAGAGGGAAAAAGAGCACTTTCCACTCGCTCTCGTTTTCTCTGTCTTAATCACTCACTCTCTCTCTCTACTGTCTCTCTCTTGCATTCAGTTTGGAAGGAACTAATATCTGTACTGTGATGTCACTGCAGCTCTTCATTTTGAAGATAGACTACTGACTTAAGCTGGTGGCTCAGCGGCCTTCCCCACTAGCTCAAATCATGTGTAAAAACAGATTGATGAGCGGACTAATAAGCATTCCCCAGTCATAGCATGTGGTCACAGTAACACAGCCTTGAACCTGTTGCCAAGCAACATGTCGCTCTCTGCCTTTGGCAGTGGGTGTATGAGCATAAGTCTCAAATACCCTCTCTGTGTGTGTTTTTGTGTACGGTCAGAGAGCAACTCTCGCTGTCAGACTCCCACCAAGCTGCGCCCGGGGGAGGAGCACAGGGAGCAGGTGGAAACTCCTGTCCAGTGGAGTGGGGCGGAGGAGTCTCTGTTCAGAGTGCTGCACGGAACCTACTACAACAACTTCTGCTCCATCGCTCGCCTCATCAGCACCAAGACCTGCAAACAGGTGAACCACCAAGAACCTACACCCAGCAGATGCTCATATACTCTATTGATACACCAATTAAAGCAAGTCTCCTGGCCTACACACAAACGACCAAAACACATTACAGACATGTACAGACAGACAAGATAACAAAGTTGTGCTGTGACTTATGTAGTGTGTTGCCATTGATAGAAGTGTCGTAACACATAATACTGTGTGGAAAATTGTCATAAATTAGGACTTTTACGACATGTACATGACATCTTTGTTATTCTCAGAGACTCCGGCTTATAGCAAACAGATCCCTTCCTACTTGAGGTATTGTGGTGATGTTATGTGTCTATATTATGGGAGTATTGTATGGGGAACATATTAGGGCCTCTGATCAGATTTACAAAGCCATTGAGAGACACGTTCCAATCCTCCAAAACAAAGACAGATAGACAAAGAGGGCGAAGCGCGATGACAGAGATCAACCACAGACATTGCAAAGTAGCTTTGCCCCCTGCAGCAGCATCCCATCCCCCAGTCTGAGGGATCCCAACACAATGCTAGTGTTACTCTATAGCATGGCCCTGTTATCCCTCAGAGAGCCTGTGGTTTGGCTAGATGGAAAAGCTGCTGCTACGAGATTCCCAGTCCCTCCCTCTGCGTAATGTGTGTCTGTCTGTTTTAGGGAGGAAGCCAAATCTGTGTTTTTGGCAGGCAGAAGTGGTTTGGGGCTTTGTGGGTGTGTGTGGGGAGAGGGATGGGTGTGTGTGTGTGTGTGTCTGTGTGTATTACACTGAGATGGTGGTGGGTTCTGGTAGGGAGGAGAGGACCGGATGTTTTATGGAGTAATCACATGCAGTGATGCGCTTCCCAGCTTAATTTGAGTGACACTCAACCACACAATGGGACCAAGTCCAGAACCACACAAGATTCTGCATAGTTGTGTATAGATGTGTCATATCTGTGTGTATGCGTGGACGAATATGCTTGCATGTGTGTGTTAATGTGTGTGTGCTCTCTCTCCTTCAGGTGTATGAGTTTGCTGTGAAAGAGGTCCTCATCCATCGCGTTCCGTTGGAGGATGGTGGCAATTCCCCTCAGAAGAAGAAGAGGAAGCACAGGCAAGATGGCCGCCGACTTTTACACTCACTCACAGTCCCTGTTGCAGAATGGACCCTGATACACAGATCAGTGGGAGAAATAGATGAAACCTTGCGGAAAACTGTGATGAACTGCTATTTTTCAAATACCTTTGTACAGAAAAATACATGATTATTGAAAGTGCTTTTCATTTCTTTTGTAGGTTATGGGCAAAGATACAGCTCAAGAAAGGTGAGTTCTTCACTTGACTGAAGTATTGAAATAGTCAACTTAACATTGTCATTTGCATTTCTGTATAACTAAAGCCTTTGTCCTCTAGATAACTCGTCCAATCAGGTGTACAACTACCAGCCATGTGACCACCCGGACCACCCATGTGACAGCTCCTGTCCATGTGTGATGACCCAGAATTTCTGTGAGAAGTTCTGCCAGTGTGAGCACGAGTGTGAGTGTCACCTTACCCAAACACACCTCTACTGCTACCGTACACCATTACACCCACCACATCCCAACACACACACACCACTTCCCAACACGTACAGACCTTTTGCAGAAGTTCAAGACTTAACAGAGCCATATTTGAACACATACTGAACACTCCTTCCACTAAACTGGCTGTGGTAAATGTGTACTACTAGTACATGTACTGACAGCGAGAGGTTTCACAGCTCTACTCTGTAATGGGAATTGTAATGTGTTCACAGGACAATTCTACTGAAGACTAGCTCTCTTTCTCTCGGTGGATAAAAAGGCCCTTTGGACAGGCTATAATAGACAGTGGAGCAGTGTGTAAGACGATCCTCCTCCTCGCTGTGTGTTCGCGGGATAAGCTGTCCTCTGGCAGGCAGGGTTTGGTTAGCTGCAGGGGCGTCTGTTCAGCAGGGGGCTGTGTTCACAATGCTCTGACACATTCATCCCAGGAGAAATGAGGCAGAATGGCCGGGCCCACGCACTGAGAGAGAGAGAGAGAGAAAGAGAGAGAGAGAGAGAGAGAGAGAGAGAGAGAGAGAGAGAGAGAGAGAGAGAGAGAGAGAGAGAGAGAGAGAGAGAGAGAGAGAATTGGCTCATCTAGTCTTCTAATAGAAATACAGTTGTCCCTCCCCCTCCCTGGTTCTGACAGGAAGCAGCTCCCCCTCCCTGGTTATGACAGGAAGCAGCGTATGGAGGGTTTCATGTGTGAGCTCCACAGCCCTGGAGAGGAATCAAAGACATGTGACAGGCACAGTGCCTGAGCTACAACATCATCCATCCCTACATTTATACCAGTCAGACTGCTACGACTAAACACTGCTCGATGATGCACACACACACAGCCACACAGACTGTAGGGAAGCACACTTAGGAAGGAGGAGAGACAAGACTAATGTTACTGCTCTAGTTAGGGAGTATTGTCCTCCAGCTAAACCTGTTGGAGACGAGAGGGACATTTAAGTTGTCTGCTGTTCATTTTCCTTCTTCCTCTGCCCAGAAGGCTTTCCATTACTCTCAGCACAGCTGTATTTCAGCATAGCTGCCAGCAGAGGTCAGTGATTGATGAGGTGCATTACAGAGCAGCAGCTTTTTTATCGTTGAGGCGGCGTTCATTAATGAAAATGTGGTTGCCGTTCGCCACGCCGCCACAGAGAATTCTGTTACAAAATAGTTTTCTAGTCCACTGAGGCATATAACTCGAATGGCCTCTCTGTTACCGCAGTATGTTTCTATGCAGTTTCTAAAAGCGACTATAAGCCTTTCCGCTGAACGTTCCCCTGTCTGACTCTGAACACTGTCCTGGGATGTTACGTTGTTCTCCAGGCCAGAACCGTTTCCCAGGCTGCCGCTGTAAGACCCAGTGCAACACCAAGCAGTGTCCCTGCTACCTGGCGGTAAGGGAGTGTGACCCAGATCTGTGTATGACCTGTGGAGCCACAGACCACTGGGACAGCAAAGTAGTCTCCTGCAAGAACTGCAGCATCCAAAGGGGGCTGAAGAAGGTAGGCCAGTGGGTCATGTTCCAGTCCAATGAAATAGAAAATAGGAGCTGGTTTTACAGGTAGCTTGATAGCTGATGATGTGCTGTATCTGAATTTAGGTCAGTCAGAACCCATATTAACATGCACAGTTGTATTATTCTAGTGTTGTCTTGTCATTTTGAGTAAATGTCAGCCACCTTTAACCTCTGACCTGTAACCTCTGACCTCACCCAGCACCTCCTGCTGGCCCCCTCAAACGTGGCAGGATGGGGCACCTTCATCAAAGAGTCAGTTCAGAAGAATGAGTTCATCTCAGAGTACTGTGGGGAGGTGAGGCTACATACATAAAACTGTTGAATGTAGCTTTCTTTATCATGTTATGGGGTATAGTTGGGTGTGGGTGTTATACAGTATCAATATGTGTTTGTATTAATGGCTTTGTATTAATGTATAAAAAGTTTAGTCTGACCAGCACACTCTGAAACTGTCTGTCTGCAGCTGATCTCGCAAGATGAGGCAGACCGACGGGGGAGGATCTACGACAAATACATGTCCAGCTTCCTCTTCAACCTGAACAATGGTAAAAATGATTCCTCAACACTCTGATGATGCACAGTTAACCCTTTAAAGGACATCACAGTCGCTGTGTTCAGTGATCGCTGAGCTGACACTGTTCCTGTTATGTCTCAACAGACTTTGTCGTGGACGCCACACGGAAAGGGAATAAAATCAGATTTGCAAATCACTCGGTGAACCCAAACTGCTACGCTAAGGGTAGGATCACATAGACAAATACAAAGCCTGTTTTGTGGGATGGTTTGGTGACTTGTACAAATCAGTGATGTGATGGTTGACTGTGGGGCTGTTGTTGTTGCAGTGGTCATGGTGAATGGAGACCACCGCATCGGGATCTTTGCCAAACGGGCTATCCTACAGGGGGAGGAGCTCTTCTTTGACTATAGGTAGAGCCTTGTGGCCATGGGAACACTGGAGCCTTTGATACAATACGGTATCGCAGTCCTTCCTTGGTTGTCTCTGATATTTGTGGGATGACTTGCATTTTTTACACTGATGCTTCACACTGTCCTGACTCCCTCTCTCCTGCCCCTTACAGGTATAGCCAGGATGATGCCCTGAAGTATGTGGGGATCGAGAGAGAGATCGACATGGCCTAGCATTAAAGTGCTGCATTTCAGCCACCCGCACTGACCCCTTGCTGACTGACCCCCTCTCCTCCTCAGCCACCTGGTAACGCTTCTGCTCCTCCCCACAATGCCACAACAAACACAGAAGCTCTATTGGAATCTGAAACATTCACTGTGATGGAGGAGAATTCAAATGGCCGATCCATGTTACTGACTAGTCCCCATTGACAACAGTGCTGTGACTAAGTGGTCTTCTTCTCCCTTGGTGACATCATTTCCTCCTGCTACCACATCAGTGACATCACTTCCTCTCTCTGTATGATGCACTTCCCCACTGCTTTATCACTCACCTAGCGAAAGTGTGTACGTGAAGCTTCTGGAAAGAAACAAAGCAATTAGAATGGCAACAAAACCTACTATCTACAGTATATATTCAATGTATCGCTTATGCTGTACCATCAGCTTCATGGCATTGTTGTTATTTTTAACATGAAAACATGCTGTGTGTTATTCTCTGTATTTTTGTTACTGTACTCACATCTAATAACAATTGCTTGTTCTCTCAATGAGCAACGCTAGCTTTTAGCCTACAGTGTATCTATTAACAGTGCAAGACAGCGCATGTGTTGTCTTTTGGTTTAAAATTAACTGTAAGCACAATAGCAAGATAATTAGCTTTTATTGTCAAATGCAGCTCTATGGAGGAACTCAGTATCCTGTCATGTTACCTTTCCTGTTACTCAGAAAAAGCCTCTTCCTGGTAGCTGTTGGAGGCAATGCTAAACTCATGATAATGCTAAAGCTCTGTCTCTGTGGCTATAGCATCAACAACACCCCCTTCATACATAGTGAAATAACTTACTGTGCATTTATATCAATGTTCTTCAAAAAGTACGAGAAACCGACTAACTGAATGTGAACTCTGAAGTGGTGGTTGGTGGGAGATCTCATTCCTCCTTTAGTTTGACAACTCTAGTCACCTGTGCCATTGGTACTCAGTGATATGTATACTTTATGAAGTATTTGCCATTCAGTTTACATGAGTGTCAGCTCCTCTAAATCCGAAAAGACTATATTCATATATAAGAACCATGAACACACTATAGTCTTCCCTGAAAGTGCCAAATGAATCTAAACAGAAAGAGAAGGGAAGTCATTATGTTTGTATTGTATATAATGGACAGGATTGTGTTACAGGTAACCATTTTACGGTTATAATCGTCACGGAAAAGCAAATAGGAAAAATTTTAAAAAATGACAAAATTTCAATTTTCAAGTGCCCCACCTGGATGTTGTGTACATACAACCATCCATCCGATCATGTTGTCACGCTATATAAAAGTGAATTGTGGAACTGACATCCAGGTCTGATATTCACCCAGGTTTTTATCCTTAAGTCCAAGACATTTACACCCATGACAAGATGAGATCTTTCTGCAAGGAGATGACTGAAACAATATGGAATTTATCGTTATGTACAATATTTGCCTATGAAAATAAAACTTTATACATTATTACAATATGCATCTTGTCGTTGAACACCATTGTCAGTCAGAGATAATTCTGGAATATGGAAGTGGGGGAGTGCTATTTGGGGGGTGGTGGGTTAGGATGAGTCAGGGTTGAACATACCCTAGCCTCAACCACAACCCTTTTTCTTGGGGGGGGGGGTTGTTTTTTTTACCCCCTTTTTCAATCTTGTCTCATCACTGCAGATTCCCAACGGACTTGGGAGGCGAAGGTCGAGTCATGCGTCCGCCAAACCGCGCTTCTTAACACCCGCCCGCTTAACCTGGAAGCCAGCCGCACCAATGTGTCAGAGGAAACACTGTTCAACTGACGACCAAGGTCAGCCTGCAGGCGGACAGCCCGCAAACAAGGAGTTGCTAGTGTGCGATGATCCAAGTAAAGCTACCCTGGCCAAACCCTCCCCTAACCCGGACGATGCTGGGCCAATTGTGCGCCGCCCTATGGGACTCCCGATCACAGCTGGTTGTGACACAGCCCGGGAATGAACCCGGGTCTGTAGTGACGCATCTAGCACTGCGATGCAGTGCCTTAGACCACTGCGCCACTCGGGAGGCCCACAACCCTAACTTTAGCCTCAACCACAACCCTAACCCTAGCTTCATGACCACATCCCAGTTAAACACTAACCCTAGCCTCCACCACAACCCTAACCCTAATTGCATGTCCACATCCCGGTTCAACACTAACCCTAGCCTCAACCCTAACTCTAACCCTAGCTTCATGTCACATCCCGGTTCAACCTTACCCCTAACCACAACCCTAGCCCTAACCCTAGCTTCTTGTCCACATCCTGGTTCAACACTAACGCCAGCCTCAACCCTAACACTAACCATGGTTTATTGTACTCTATCCTACTTTACTCTTTGCACCCGTAAGGTGCTGGAGCTTGGCTTCAGGTAGCTCCAACTTCATTTACCCACTGGTGTCATCTGAGGTGTTCCAATTGTTCTCTATACCAACATGGATTTATTAAGACTGTACACCACACAGACACATTGTGCCTTTGTTAACAGGTAAAGGGAAACCACACCATTATAATTTCCTTCAAGCTTCTTTATTGAAGTGTCAGTTTGGTTTTGCTTTGATTAACATAGTTATGGTCATTTACAGTGAAATTATTACAAAACAAAACCAACATAACAGAAAGGGAGAGATAAAACTCCATGATTTCGGTGTGGTCACAAACACAAAGTCCTGCAGTCAGTCACTACCTTCAGCAGGGTTTAAGAAACATGAAACATACGGTTTTCAGGGATACAGTATTTTCAACCTAGCTTCCTTTTCCCCTGAAAACCGGATGTGGTGACCCCACTCAGGCGTTTCTTTTACGCCTGCTACATTAGGTTATACAGTCACTAACTGCCTGGTGCCTCCTTTTGCCAGGTTCTATAGGGTATTAACCCACAGAGGGGTCTGACCCTCTTAGACTACCCTGCCTGCTCCTCCCTCTCGCCTGGCCCTAGCTCTGTCTGTAGGCCACCCCTCCACTGTGGGGAACAACACTTGTCTGTCATATGATGACACTGCTTGTAGGCTTGACAGAATCCTCTTGCCTTTCACCCTTGTGCCCACTCCCTCAAACCCTTATCTCCTTTACATAGAAAACCTTAGATGCTCACCCTGGCTGTCACCATATAGGGATGGCCAAGTTGATCCTAGGCTAAGTTGATCCTACACTCTTAGAAAAAAAGGTGCTATCTAGAACCTTAAAGGGGTCTTCGGCTGTCCCCATAGGAGCACCCTTTGAAGAACCCTTTTTGGTTACAGGTAGATTCCTTTTGGTTCCAGGTAAAAACCCTTTTGGGTTCCATGTAGGAACCCAAAAAGGGTTATCCTATGGGGACAGCTGAAGAACCCTTTTGGAACCCTTTTTTCTAAGCGTGTAAGGTAGTGAACTTGCTATAGACTGCCAATCAGCACAGATCTAAGAGCTGATTGTGTCATACAGTGTAGTAAAGTTTGTGGTCATACACACATAACAATACTGATATTTTGACCTGAAGAAGATCCGGTTCGGATCGAAACGTTGTCAATAAAGCGGTGAATTGGGAGCATAAACAATGTGCTGGCCTTCCTGTTCTTTTCAAGTCTTACGGTGTAGTCACTGATTATCAAAAGCTGTAGAGCAACACCTGAGTAGGGAGGAGCCTGTCTGGACAGCACCCAATCACTATCTGCTCAATGTTCTGCTATTGGTAGACGACAACAAGTGAGTTGGATCATTCACATCATCAGTGCAGAGACGGTCCTCATCAGACTCTCAAGTCAACATCAGTAGGGAGGGTTAGGTGACAAACAGAACTGTGAACACACAAACCAACACATCTACTGTACATTCAATCACACACACTCCAGGGACCACGCATGGATGGACTAACTCAGGTGTAGCATTGCAGTGATGCTAGGCAGGATGCACATGTACTGTAGTCCATTTAGAATAAATGCATTGCAGCGTATACATTTACATAATATATCAATAAGTCGACTATTTCCGTAAAAGGCTTCAAAGCACATTTGACCCAAGTTGTTGACTGGTCTAATATGAACTCTGAAAGACGTGATTATCCATATCTGTACACTAGCGGTCAAAAGTTTTAGAACACCTACTCATTCGAGGGTTTTTCTTTATTTGTACGATTTTCTACATTGAAGAATAATAGTGAAGAGATCAAAACTATGAAATAACACATATGGAATCATGTAGTAACCAAAATAGTGTTAAACAAATAGCCACCCTTTGCCTTGATGACAGCTTTGCACACTCTTGGCATTCTCTCAACCAGCCTCACCTGGAATACTTTTCCAACAGTCTTGACGGAGTTCCCATATATGCTGAGCACTATGTTGGCTGCTTTTCCTTCACTCTGCGGTCCAACTCATCCCAAACCATCTCAATTTGGTTGAGGTCGGGGGATTGTAGAGGCCAGGTCATCTGATGCAGCACGCCATCACTCTCCTTCTTGGTAAAATAGCCCTTACACAACCTGGAGTTATGCTGGGTCATTGTCCTGTTGAAAAACAAATAATAGTCCCACTAAGCCCAAACCAGATGGGATGGCGTATCGCTGCAGAATGCTGTGGTAGCCATGCTGGTTAAGTGTGCCTTGAATTCTAAATAAATCACAGACAATGTCACCAGCAAAGCACCCCCACACCATAACACCTCCATGCTTTACGGTGGGAAATACACATGCGGAGATCATCTGTTCACCCACACCGCGTCTCACAAATACACGGCGGTTGGAACCAAAAATCTCCAATTTAGACTCCAGACCAAAGGACACATTTCCACCGGTCTAATGTCCATTGCTCGTGTTTCTTGGCCCAAGCAAGTCTCTTCTTATTATTGGTGTCCTTTAGTAGTGGTTTATTTGCAGAAATTCGACCATGAAGGCCTGATTCACACAGTCTCCTCTTAACAGTTGATGTTGAGATGTGTCTGTTACTTCAGCTCTGTGAAGCGTTTATTTGGGCTGCAATTTCTGAGGCTGGTAACCTTAATGAGCTTATCCTCTGCTGCGGAGGTAACTCTGGGTCTTCCATTCCTGTGGCGGTCCTCATGAGAGCCAGTTTCATCATAGAGCTTGATGGTTTTTGCGACTGCACTTGAAGAAACGTTCAAAGTTCTTGACATTATCCGTATTGACTGACCTTCATGTCTTACAGTAATGATGGTCTGAGCTGTTCTTGCCATAATATGGACTTGGTCTTTTACCAAATAGGGCTGTCTTCTGTATACCCCCGCTACCTTGTCACAACACAGCTGATTGGCTCAAACGCACTAAGAAGGAAAGAAATTCCACAAATTAACTTTTAAGAAGGCACACCTGTTAATTGAAATGCATTCCAGGTGACTACCTCATGAAGCTTGTTGAGAGAATGCCAAGAGTGTGCAAAGCTGTCATCAAGGCAAAGGGTGGCTATTTGAAGAATCTCAAATATAAAATATATTTCGATTTGTTTAACACTTTATTGGTTACTACATGATTCCATAAGTGTTATTTCATAGTTTTGATGTCTTTACTATTATTCTACAATGTAGAAAATAGTAAAAAATTAAGAAAAACCCTTGAATGAGTAGGTGTTCTAAAACTTTTGACCGGTAGTGTACAAAAACACATCATTTCTATTTCTCCAGAGGTGGAACATGTTACTACTCTAATTACTAATGCTAACATTCATACTATTTAAAATGGTACATTCTTACAAATATGGCTTGGGAAAAAGTCAGGCATTGCCAATTCTATCTTATAATTGATTGTAATTGTAATGCTTTTTACCATCTAGTCGTAAGGGGTTGTCCTCTTTAACAGGCTAAACCAAAGATGTTGAAATATGTTCTAATAATGTTCTATGAAGTTTTCTACTGAAAAATCGGGAGGGTACTGTATTTTCCACATCCTGAACATGTGAGAAAGCTATGCTGAATAGGTTTCTGTGTAATGAGTGTACATACCATACAGTGCACATTCAGAGATTAGCAGAGCCTGTCCATATTACAGGGTCATGATTAGGATTTACATTCAAAACTCTCAGCCTCCACTCATTTTAAACAGTTTCATACAAACCATAGGAATAAAACAAGTCGATAAACACCTTATTCATATATTCATGTATACATATTATGTCTAGGATCCTAACTGCTGCAAGTTGCTGCGAACGGAACAGACACAAAAAACATATTTAGGTGATCTGCGCTGGAAGCGGCTGATTTTATTGCATTTCATTGCAAGGTGCGATCATCATGCTCTATATATGCATAGCTTATGATTTTCACAATGCTCTTATGTTTTCTCTTTTTTTTCCAATGATGTATGACTGCTTTAGCTTCAAAGGGCGCTCGGGTGATGATGTCAGAAACCTAATCATTGGTTACTACACCAAACATTACATGGGGTCCAATGACGTTTCACCTACTGGGAACATCTTCCCTGACCATAACCTCACCCACCGTCTAACCTGAAATCATGACTTTCCAGACAGGGAAATATCATTGGACCTTAAGAAAGAGTTTCTACAACCCTCTCCATAAGAAGCACCTACCCACTGGGCACAGACGTCAATTCAACGTCATTTCATTGAAATAATGTGGAAAGAACGTTGATTCAACCAGTGTGTGCCCAGTGGGTAAGAAGCAACAGCAGCGGGAGCGGCACAGCACAGTACTGTCATACAGAGCAGTCAGATGCAAAAAGAGTCTAGTGTGGTGAGAAGAAGTACAAGACTGGCATTGACATTGTTGTGTCCTCTATACAATATGCCAGTGTGTGTGTGAGTGTGTGTTTGCATGTCCGGATGTTCATGCGGAGCAGCTATTTTCCTGAAGGACATTTGTAATGATTCCTGACCAGGCTGGTCAACAGGGCTGCTGTTGGTAGGGGCACCTCCACGCCGGAGCCTCTGAATCTGAAATAGCACCCAGATTTCACCTGCATGTTCACTAGCTACTGGAAGTCAAACAGAAAATGATGCTTGGAATGAGGATTAATAGCAATAAGGAGTCTTGTCCCTGGTTAGGTTCAACATCTCCATTTCCATTCCCTTTTCTGCAGCGCACCAACAGTCAGTCTCACAATAACATGATAGCACTACCTTCGGGAAAAGTCAAACTACCATGGTTTCGTAGCACTACCCACCCATTTCATATGCTACTCTGAGGATTCTGAACAAGAATATGGTGATCATTTTATATTCCAAGCCAAATGTCACATGTATTCAGTATGTATTCAGTATGCTTTGTTGATCGTACTTGACTGCTTAATTGATTGGGGAATCGTTTAGGAATTGCAGAGCATACTGTAATTGGCAAAGCTGCTATCTAATGAAACTAACCATTGATACATGTTCCTCTTTTGTATAGGTATGCAATTTCATAGGCTGCAATACAACAAATATATGCTTTTATACCTTCCATTATTCTTTAGATATGTCATCTCAAAGCTTAGAGCTCCATGCTTTTTATAGTTTCTTCAATTGGTGTTAAGCAGGAAAGACTGTTTGCAGATGCCAGATTGTGGGTTTGCTGTTGTTTGCTGCACCATCTCTCTGTGGTGTATCCTGGCTCACTAGTCAAAGCATGGGACGAGTGGCATAGTTTGGATGTCTTTATCAAAATGGCTGCAAGAGTGGATTGTCGGAAAGAGTTACACAGTAGATGGCATTGATCTATCAAGTGATCTCAATTAACAGACCTAAAAACCAAAAGAGGCTGCTGAATACATGTTACTGCATGTGAGGATATTAAGATGTAAAAATGTCACAATTCAACGTGATCTGAAATCTAATTCCATCAGTTTAAGTCTCAAATCCAGAATGAACTCATGGGGTTATTTCTGATCTCGTTTTGCTCTGTCGAGGCACTTCAGTTGGTCAACCATTCAATACAGTGTGAGACGTAGTCGGTCGTCACTCACGCAATACAGGCTTGATTTGAACTTCAAACCCTGCAAAACTATGAACCCATCAGAAAAACAACACTACGTCGAGCACCAAACTTTAAGATCACACATACCTGGGGAAAGGAAAACAAAACAAAAAAGTAAATAAAAAAGTCAAGTTGAAGGAATTATAAAACATAAACAGGTATTCTGGTTGTTGTAAGCCCCAAAACCTTCCCACTTCAACCCCCCCCCCCCCCCCCCTCTCCTCCTCCTCCCCTCCCACCGTTCCCCAGCCTGAGGCTAGTCACTCCGAAAGTCTTCCTCTATCTCTGGAAGTCGCTTCTTCTCCAGGGTCCCTGTCAGGGGTCTGGAGCTGCTGCCTCCAGGGGACTCCAGGAAGTTCTTGGGCTCGTTGGTGTGGTAGCTGCCCTTGTACCGGTACAGATAGATGTAGATGCTGTACAGACCTATGAACAGCAATATCACGGCCGCGATGACAACAACTAGAGGGAGAAACACAGTCAAGATGTGGTTAAAAAAACTGTATTTAGCAAACAGCAGAAAATCCATTGTTCATCACAGTAGGGTTCTATGACTCACGTTGGAATTGTTACCGTGAAAAGACATACCTGTGTCTCGATGGATGACACAAATATCCCTTTCAATCAATATCATTATGACTCAGTTGGTTCTCTGCCAAAAAGATAACTGCTCACTTAACTTCACTTTAGAGACAAGAGATATCATTTCTTATACAGCCACATATTGTTATGAGGGAGCCATCCATCTCAAATTATGTCCAATAACCGGACGAGGTCGGCAAGGGGACAGCAGGACCGGCCCAGACATCAGAAATCAAACTCAGATGTTCTGCGTTACCATAACACCTCTGTACATCAGATTTATCCAGTACATTAAGCTGAAGCATATATCTGTGATGAATAGTGGAGGGAGGGCAGCTCTAAATATAGTTGATCCGGTGAGGGTCTCAGACAGGGATAGAGTACAGACTCTCTGAGCTGCTTTCTATTTCTGGGCTTCCTTCGCCTCTCATATTCAACAGACACGAGAAAATATCCTTCTTACATTCCAGCATTTGTTCTGGTACATGTCATTTTTTTCTTCTAGCTTGGGGAAGGAGGGCGTAAAGCCTATTCTGGAATCTGATGGCCTCAGAATTTAGGATTAGGGGATTTTAGGAAAATAAAAATTTCAACTATCTCCATCTGTGTCAATAGGGGAGCGAGAGAGAGACAGTGAAATAGCGAGAGGAAGAGAGAGAGGGAGAGAGTGAGAGGAGGCTTAATCTGAATCTTGAGGTAAACTAAGGTCAGGACTCACAGATGGCAGACGGTGGATGAACACTTACACTAATAGATTTCACAAAAATCATCAAAGTATAATTATTCACATTATTGTGAATCTTAAGCAGTAAAGACTTACCTGTCAACCAAAACAGGCCTAGGTCATCATGGATATAGATGTATTCTGAAATGAAAAAATACATAAATTATGTTATTATGGTGAATTTACACTATCATCACTGGGTCATGTTGGCTGATGGGATATGTAGTCCCATGTAAAGTAGATCTACTGATGGCTTCTGGGATATGTAGTCTCACCTATAGAAGTGAACCAGGGGTCCGCCTCCCAGGGGACATATCCATGGACAGGACGGAAGGCCCCACAGTTAGACTCGGAGACGAAGCCCTGCACGGTGACCGGCGGTTCCGTCTCGTTGGGCCGGAACAGGGTCTTGAGAGGGGCGTAGATGTTGTACCTCACCCCAGATATACAGCCCACCAGACCAGGACTGTTATGCCTCTGGATCTCATAGTCAATGTCACCCACCTCTGAGGGGGTTAGAGAGAGGGACAGAGGAGTTACAATGTGCACATCCACCTTAACTAATTCCCAAACTTACAGTGGGACAACTGATGCCTTACTCCCATGGGTAACACTTTATATGGATAGTCCATCTGTAGATGCTCTACAGACTATCAGTAACATTTCAACTATCTACTAACCCTAACCTTAACCCTTATCCTAACTCTAAACTTAACCCTAACTCTTACCCTAACCATTATTCTAACCCTAACCGTAACCATAACCTTAGCAAGCAGTTGCTTATCAACAGAGTTCGTTGATAGTATGACCATCTGTAGAGCACCTACAGATGGATTATCCGGACTATCCAAATAAAGTGTGACCAAATCAATTCTCAAGATGAAAGCAGAAATGTTTCAGCTAGGGGGTGAAATTGAATCTTACCCATCACTCTCCCCAGGAAGATGTTCTTGGGTGAGTCAAACCTGCCATCTTCCACTAGGGTGATCTTCTCCACTATCGGCTCCATGTAGTCCACCTAGGAGTTACACACATCAACACAAACACATTGATATTCACACACAACCATAAACATGTCAACAGGAACAAATCAATGAACGACTGAAACTGCACATATGAACACAACATACAAAACCAAGTAATGTGGTACCAGACAATCCTGATTTGTGATTTACTTTTAAACTGTGGTGAAGGAGGAAGGTGGTGTTAACAGGTGTAGACATTCAGGTGGAGCATCAGCGTACCTGTGTCCTGATGGTTCTGTTGTGTCTGGTTATGTTGACATAGTGGGGGTATCCATCTGCCAGGTTCCTGAAGGACAGCTGGTACTTGTGGGTAATCAACCCCAACCTATACCTCATGTCTAAGGTTCCTGTGGAGGGATGGTGCAACAATACACTCCACAGTTCATAATGTAAGGCATTATAACATTATATTTCCATTAACTATTGTGAGGATTATGGCTTGTAAAGTACAGTGATGTACTTTTGTCCAAGTCCTATCTTGCTTTGTGTTTCTACTCAAATAAATGGGATGACTAAAGAACATACCACAGGAGGTTGGTGGCATCTTAATTGGGGAGGACGGGCTCGTGGTAATGGCTGGAGCGGAATCAGTGGAATGGTATCAAATACATCAAACATGGTTTCCAGGTGTTTGATGCCATTCCATTTGCTACGTTCCAGCCATTATTATGAGCCGTCCTCCCCTAAGCAGCCTCCTGTGGAACATACAGTACTCCAACTTCAATCAGTTACAGTAAAATCTTCATTCAAAAGCCAGTTCAATCCGAACATTCTCTGCCTTGAATCTTAACCATAATAACCCATATGTTAAAGCGCTCCTCCCTGCCTAGCGTTCCTACCGTCTTTCTTCAGGATGACAGCCATGTAGTCCTGGACAAATGAGCTGATGTAGAGTAGTACAGCCGGGGTCTGGAAGGTACTGAAGCTGAACTCTATCTCATCACTGGTGTCGTTGTAGCCCAGGCTGAAGTTGTGGTAGTGGGGATCCAGCCAGTTAGCCCACCACTCCTCATTGGTCGTAGGCTTCTTTCTGATGTTGTAGCGCAACCACGAACCTATCTCAAAGTAGGCCCCAATGTCTAAGGGGGGAACAAACAGGACAAAGTTGAGCTAAATGCCTATTTCTATTATGAAACTTTGTGGTTATCGCCAACACTGTCAAAACAAATCTAGGTTTTTGTTAGTGTAACCCACCATGCTTAGGGCAGTCTTAGTGATTCTGGGGCTCCATGCAAAACTGAGGTAACCCAACCTGTGTAGAGCTCACCTTTGTGGCAGTAGAATCCGTCGAAGGCAGTGTTGCCGCAGTCACAGGTGTAGGCTGCGTAGCCCTCGATACACTGGGCAGCGTTTCGACACGGTATGGTCGCGTTCAGACACTGGCCCGTACAGTTCCGCCGTATACCCTGTTCTTCATTCGCTTTCCCTTCCAAGTCAAGGGTTACACCGTTCATTCGTAACCCTCGGAGACAGCCCAGGAACGGCCACAGCGTGCGATTGGCTGCGCCTGGGTGCATTGGAACACTATGTTAATCATCACATTGCAAAATTTAGCATTTTGTATTAAGAAGAATAAAAAAAAAACATGCTGGTGAAACTCATAGGACTACATCAACCAGGAGGAGTCCAAAAATCCTTGTCGACCACCACCCCGTCCTCCCCAGCCCCAACAGCCAGGTGACGTACCCACGAGGAGAGGGTGGGTGAACTTCATGGTGACAAAGGTCTGGCCAGGGAAGCGTCTCACAGCCCATGGCTGGTAGTCCACCTTGATCCTGGCCAACTTCACGTTGAGCTCTGCCTGGACAAAGTGCCACTCATTGTCGTTTAGAGGCACCGGTGACCGTAGCGTCACATTGAGGATGCCGTCTCCCACCATGAATATGAAGACGAGGTTCTGGGTGGCTGGGAGAACGATGAAGAAGAGACAAAACAGAATGAGGGAGAAAATATATAAAGGAAAATAAATACTGGAAAATATTGATAATGTGTTCATTGAAACAAAACATTTAGAAAATTGTAATTCGGAAATTATGTTTCATGCCTATGTCCTATGTGGATCAGTCGGTAGAGCATGGCGCTTACCACACCAAAGGTTGTGGGTTTCGATTCCCACTGGGGCCACCCGTATGTAAAATGTATACACGCATGACTGTAAGGCGCTTTGTATAAAAGCGTCTGCTAAATATATAAAATGCCTATACTTTATTTAATGAGTAATTTCTTATGATTCACACTAGGTAATCGGTGGTAATTTACTGTTGAGCTCAATGCGTATGAAGTTACGGAGCCAGTCGTCTGAGTTCTCCAGGAAGACTCCGTGGGGGCGGTAGGTTTTAAAGTGAAAGGAGATGTCAACGGTGCTGCCTGGCCTGAAGGTGGGGAACTCGATGTAAGTGGGCTTGGTGAACGATATGGTGTTCCAGATGCTCCCTGTGAGGACAAAGAGGCCATGAGATGAGGCCAAACCAGAACCATGATAAACAATCATTTGACAAATTATATACCACAGAATGGTTTTACTTCATCAATCCATCTGGGTAATGTAGTTCTTCAACTCACGGTCGCCATGGCAACGTAGGGGCCCGAGGCTGAAGTGGGCCTCTGACCCGGTCCTGTTGGTGTCCCCCACCACCACCTTCCTCACTGGGAGGTGGTCCTTCCACATCAGATAGCCCTTGTCCGAGTACCTGCACAACAGGTTCCATTTGTACAGTAATGTATATCAATCTATGGAAACACTTTTCTAAAAGTTATAGAAAAGTGTCATTCAAATCCTTTCTCTCTCACCATTGGCGGTAGTCAGCGTCACAGTTACAGTGAAACCTGGCGTCAGTGCAGGTCTGGTTTATAGCACAGCCACACTTCCCACTCTCAGGGAAAGCCCCGCCCCAGTACTCGTGACTCTCGTTATTTCGACCAATCCAGAAACTGTACGGTCTCCCATCTGAATGACATGACAATAGAGCAAAGGAATATGATTATTATGATTTAATCATTGAATTAGTTTGAACTTGTTACCTGTATAAAAGACACCTGTCCACACACTCAATCAAACAGACTCCAACCTCTCCACAATGGCCAAGACCAGAGAGCTGTGTAAGGACATCAGGGATAAAATTGTAGACCTGCACAAGGCTGGGATGGGCTACAGGACAATAGGCAAGCAGCTTGGTGAGAAGGCAACAACTGTTGGCGCAATTATTAGAAAATGGAAGAAGTTCAAGATGACGGTCAATCACCCTCGGTCTGGGGCTCCATGCAAGATCTCACCTTGTGGGGCATCAATGATCATGAGGAAGGTGAGGGATCAGCCCAGAACTACACGGCAGGACCTGGTCAATGACCTGAAGAGAGCTGGGACCACAGTCTCAAAGAAAACCATTAGTAACACACTACGCCGTCATGGATTAAAATCCTGCAGCGCACGCAAGGTCCCCCTGCTCAAGCCAGCGCATGTCCAGGCCCGTCTGAAGTTTGCCAATGACCATCTGGATGATCCAGAGCTTTTTGGTCTAAACTCCACTCTCCGTGTTTGGAGGAAGAAGAAGGATGAGTACAACCCCAAGAACACCATCCCAACCGTGAAGTATGGAGATGGAAACATCATTATTTAGGGATGCTTTTCTGCAAAGGGGACAGGACGACTGCACCGTATTGAGGGGAGGATGGATAGGGCCATGTATCGCGAGATCTTGGCCAACAACCTCCTTCCCTCAGTAAGAGCATTGAAGATGGGTCGTGGCTGGGTCTTCCAGCATGACAACGACCCAAAACACACAGCCAGGGCAACTAAGGAGTGGCTCCGTAAGAAGCATCTCAAGGTCCTGGAGTGGCCTAGCTAGTCTCCAGACCTGAACCCAATAGAAAATCTTTGGAGGGAGCTGAAAGTCCGTATTGCCCATCGACAGCCCCGAAACCTGAAGGATCTGGAGAAGGTCTGTATGGAGGAGTGGGCCAAAATCCCTGCTGCAGTGTGTGCAAACCTGGTCAAGACCTACAGGATATATATATATACACACATACACACACACACACACAAATAGTTACAGATTCTGGTGCTTTCAATACCTACCATTGCCCATAGGCCCTAACCACTCCTACTCACTGGGCGTGTTGAGGATGCGTGACTTGTAGCAGGAGTAGTCGATCCACTGTTCACAGTACATGGAGGTGTTGGCCAGTGCTGTGACCTCGTCCCAGGAGGCGTTCCAGTAGTTGACGTCTCCTATGAAAGGACGGTCCACCGTGCTACCGGTCACCTTGATGCCGTCGATTCGGTCATGCATCACCAACGTCCATGCCTTGTCAGCTGTGTCAACAGACAAGGAAGTGGTTAACATTAAGGGTAAACATGTATGATTGTATAAGTGAGGTGAAAAAGTGAGATTAAGTTACAGACAGGCAGACAGAAAGAGAGAGAAAACTAGAGAAACAACGTCAAAGCACATCTACTACTGAGGAATTTGTTGTTGTGCCGTGTCCAATGATCTGATATTATCACAGACAGCTCTAATGCAGTAGACCCTGACTAATCTAAGGGATTTACATGGAACCTACATGAATAGGTTTTGGTTAATTGGATAGGATTGGATGGAGAATACTCTGGCCCCACAACCAATTACTGATCTAGCCCCAAACTGGTTCTCCATTGTCCTTGTTGGAGTTCATTATTACATGATCAACATCCAACAGATGGCCCTGCTGTCTCCCCTGCTGCTGTTGCCTTTTCATTCCTCATGGAACATAGTCAACATTCACCTCAACCTGAACACTGTTTAATGTCTGCCTCAATATGTTCAATAACACCCCATTTCTGCTTGTGCTGTGGAAGAGTAAAAGGTACTGTAAGCACTGACTACCATTTTGTTCGATATGCACCATGGAGTCATGTTGGTCAGATAATATAATTGTATACTAGTACATTTTATGAATGTAGAAAATACATTTGAAAAGTCAGTTACTCACATTTCATCTTGCAGTACACCTCAAATGGTTTCAAGGGTCCGCTCAGATCAGGGTCTATGGTGTAATTGCCTGACCAGGATTTACCAGTGAGTCTGTAGGCCTCACAAGACTCTTTGTAGACAGCTGTTGGGGAAGAGAGGGGCAGAAGTAGTGTTTTAATCTACACCAGCAAAGTTTTGATGATGACATGGGTCCGCAGTATATAGGCCTCAACAAACTGGTTGTTACACTGGTGAGGTTACATTAATACTTGCAAACAACAGTAGGCTCTCTCAGACAATACTCACACATATGGCACACCTCCCCTTTGTAGCCTGTGTTCTCACACAGACATATGAAGTCATCCCAGGACTGGATACATCTGCCCTCGTGTTCACAGGGGTTTGGAGTACATCTAGAGAAAATACCATGCAGGAGTGTGGGTAAAAGTAAAACAGGGCATATACAATGAGTACACAAAACATTAAGAACACCTGCTCTTTCCATGACATAGACCATATAACAATGTTTTCTTGTTATACAGTAACAAGAAAACATTCTTTGGGGGGTGAGAGACAGTATGAAAAGACAAGAGAGGTTTGAGAGAGGATTAGGTCACTCAATATCTCTCTATCACTCTCATTTTTCTGTAGTCCTCTGTCAGGCTTTATTTACTGTATAAGTGTCACGATGTCAGTGTAATGAGGTAGACGAAGTCAGGCGCAGGACACAGAACTAAATGAAAACGTAACTTTACTGAACACGTAAAGAAACAAGTAAACCTCCAGGCAGGGAGGAACAAACCCGCTCACCAACAACACACGAAACAATAAACAAACACGCACAGAGCACAATGGGAGCCACAGGGTTAAATAGGGACGGAGTCATTACAAGATGGGAAACAGGTGTGAAACAATCAGACAACAACAGGTAGATCATAGAAACATAGAACATAGATCGGCAGCAGCTAGTACTCCGGTGACGACGAACGCCGAAGCCTGCCCGAGCAAGGAGGAAGGGCAGCCTCGGCAGAATCCGTGACAATGAGGGAAAATGTAAGGGCTGTGGTCCGCTCTGATTGGGGTGGGCGTTGTCTGCAGCCCCTCAGCCCTTAGCATCAACAGACAAATTACTTTATAGGCCTTTCATATAATTTACACATATGGCCCTCAAGATTGATTCTCAGGGTCACACATAGTTTTGAGCTATAGTTCGAATCAGAGTTCGATTATTTGTTACATTGTATTTGTTTCATTTGGTCTGGTTGGTTTCACATTGCCAAATATCAAACGAACAGAAATTCCTATACAAAACCACGTGTCCATGCAAGTCATTTGTTTATTGGGCAAAAATGCTCACGTTAAATCCATCTATGATTATCACCAAGCATCACCTGTGTGCCCCAATCTTCATATTACTTAAGCGTTGGTCTTCCAAGAACATGCGGGAGGAAACAGCGCAATAGCAGATCTAACTGTGACATGAATAGCCTATATTCAGTCCCCTATATCCCCGGTATAGCCCCGGTCTCCCCTAGTCTTCATCGGATGCGCTCATAAATGCGCTCCTACTCACAGAATGTTTCAGAGATACTGTATCAAGTTATGATGCTGTATGCATTTCATCAAATGCTCGCAGTCAAATAACAAATAATACTGCACAACTCATTAGGGGGCTTTCACACCAAATTGAACTCTGTTGCGTTTATCAACTTAGTTTGGATCGTTTGGACTGGTGTGAACACTATCCTCACTCGGGAGCGCACTAAACAATGCACCGTGGTTCGCTCAAAAAGGGTGGTCTTGGTCTGATTCAATTCGTAGCGTGGTGCGGTTCCTGCAGGTGAGAACGCAGTCCAGACCAAACACAGGAAAATAACCAGAGTCTCGCAGTATTATTGGTTGTTTGACTGCGAGCGTTTCATGAAATACACACAGCATCATAACTTTAGATCAGAGGATTTATGAGCGCAATCGATGCAGACTAGGGGAGACGGGGGCTATACAGGGGATATAGGACTCTGATTATAGCTATTGACGTTATAGTTAGAGCGGCTATTGCTCTGTTTCCTCCCGCATGTTGTTGGAAGACCAAAGCGAAAATAATATGAAGATTGGGGCACACAAGTGATGCTTGATGATAATCATAGATGGATTTAACGTGAGCATTTTTGTCCAATAAATAAATGGCTTGCATGGACACATGGTTTTGGTTAGGAATTTTAGTTCGTTTGACATTTGGCAATGTGAAACCAACAGGACCAAATGAAAAAAATACAATGTAATAAATAATCGAACTCTGATTCGAACTATAGCTCAAAACTATGTGTGAAAACACCCTGAAACACCAGGAAGACTCCGAACCACCAAGGTTGACTGCACATACATTGTCATGCTGATACCCTTGTGAAACAGAGAAGGCACCATGAAGGTATCATAATCCATAAAGTAGATGAATATGTAACATACTGATATAAGCATGTGATAAGAAGACATACTAGTACACAATGGTTTTGTACACAATGGTCTTTGCACATGATTTTGTAGAGAAAATGGCGCTCCTCCCAAATCTATTTAATATAAAAGGAGGGGAGAAGTGGAGGAGGAGATATGTGTCAACATCGTCGTTAGATGAAGCGGACCAAGGCGCAGCGTGATACGTGTACATTATTTTATTGCAGTACACAACACGAAACAAAACAAACGATACGTGAAGTCCTGGGTTGACCACAAACCTTCCAGAACAAGATCCCACAACATAACATGCCAACAGGCTGCCTAAATATGGTCCCCAATCAGAGACAACGAGCTACAGCTGTCTCTGATTGGGAACCACCCTGGCCAACATAGAAATACACGAACTAGAACGAAAAACATAGAAAACTAAACAAGGAAAATCCACACCCTGGCTCAACATTTAAGAGTCCCCAGAGCCAGGGCGTGACAATATGAGTGAGTGTAGAAAACTGGACTGAAGTTTAGTGTTACATGTGATGGTCTTACGTTGACATTTTTCCAAAATGTTGATCTTGCAAACGTTTGGCAGTGAGAGAGGCTTCATGTGGAAGCGTGACCATCAAAACACTTTATATCATATACCTATGTTACCATAACATGGATCCTACTCTGGTGTAAATAATCCTCCCTGTCCAGGCAGGTGCATTCAACTGAGCATAGCCCCTGTCATCAACCGGTAGTCAATCTCCTGGAGGTGTCTGAGTGTTATAAGTCACCAGTCTGCCATGGGGGCTGAGAGGCATCCTCAGAATGATTAATCCCTATAGCAATGAGCCTTGACTCTGTCTGTCACATTGGTCCATCGGGAATCAGGATGGAACATTCCAACACAATCTCTGTACTCCACTGATATTACAAGGCAGAGTATAGTGTTTAGAATACATCCAATCACTTTACCCATGGATTCATCATGGATACTGTATGTAACCTTTGCCTTTGTGCTACTACTGTTTAGCCTGTTGCAAACAAACCATTTCACCATAGTATCTTAATCTGTGCCCCTGCCCCTCTGCCAACCTCCTCCTTTGTACATGTCTGTGATGCCCCCCTCCCTCCTCTCTATCTGTCAGTGATGCCCCCTACCTGTCAGTGATGCCACAGGTGCCCAACAACAGTTCAGCATAGCGTCCCCAGCGTCGCTGCAGGATGATGTCGATGTCCACCGGCTCGTTGTCGATAAAGATCTGCTGCATGCAGCCGTGGAAGTGGTTCAGCTTGGTCTCACACTTCCTGATCGTGTTGTTAGTCTTCGGACACCCTGAGGACCAAAGCACAGAGGGAGGTGTGAAGATATGTTCCTATTGGGCGGTTCTTTTGATAGTGAGAACATCAAGATGGTGTTGGGCCAGTAACGGAATGTTCGCTGGTTCAAATCCCCGAGCTGACTAGGTGAAAAATATGCCGATGTGCCCTTGAGCAAGGCACGTAACCCTAAATGCTCTGGATAAGCGCGTCTGCTAAATGACTAAAAATATAAGACCAAAAGTTGTGCACTGTAACGGGAATTGGGTGCCATTTGGGAAGCAGCCCAGGTCTGGTCAACAGCTCACCTCCAGTGGTTGCTGTTGTAATGTATGTTGATGTTGGGAACAGTGAAGTGAAGAGCCAGAACAGGTGTGGTGAACAGCTCACCTCCAAAGAAGTAGCGGTCCCCTGTGCGAACAGTGAAAGGGTTGGTGATTTTTAGCGGAGATCCCTCCTCCTCATCTATGGTGATGGACAGTAGGTTGTCCCTGGCTGCTACGTCTACGGTGTGCCAGAAACCATCATTCAAACGGTAACCTGAAGAGAAGAACAAACAGAAACCATAGAACAGCTTTATATTCCAAGAATGAGCGAACAGCAATCAGTATGAATCAAAATTATTGTTTATACCTTTTTCTGTGGCATTGCAAGATCATACAGTATTAATTTGCCAAAAATATTCTACCCTCTCAAATGTTCTGCACATTATTTATAATTTGTAGAATGGTAAGAATTTATTAATGAGGCAGGGTTAGTTCAGTTACACATTTTGGCTCACCTGCTGCGAACTGTAGTTTCTTCTTGCCTGGCTGAAAGAGTGTGACATTGACCTGTCCCTCACTCAGGCCCAGCTCCAAGGCTCCCAGGTCGTCAGCAAAGCGTGTGAACATCAGCAGGCCTGTGTAGTCCCAGGAACGGAACTTAAACTTGACAAACATCCGAGGCTTCCTGAAGAACCCAGGCACCTGCAGGTAGTTGTTGGGCCCGGCGAAGGTCATGGGTTTCCACAGAATGTCACGGCACGCGTAGTGCATCTTTTTCTGAGAAAAAGAACATGAGGTATGAGGAAATAATTATTGTATTTACAACAAACTATGAAGAAAGATTAGCAACATCACTGTAGGTCACAGGTAAATTGTGTGTGTAGGTAAATGAGTACGCGATGCAGAGGTGAAGTATGATGAGAAGCTGCACCTGCCGAGGGATGCGTATCTCAGGCTCCTGGTCCTGGGCCATGTTGATGATGTTGATCCCGTTGATGAAGACATTCTCCAGGCAGCCACGGAAGTTAGGAACCTCTGGGAGGTGGGGTACATTGGGCTCAATCACTCCCCCCACATACAACTAGGAGAGGACCAGGAGAGGAATACATTAGATAAATGGACACTTATGATGAATGGAATATTATACTCAAGGCCACACATTTATTTTTAGGTTTAGATCATCTGTTTATCAACCAAGTACACCCTGAATGACTAGCAGGCGCCAGGTAAATAGTAGGCTGATCTCTGTCTACGACCATTGACCCCTTCAATGACCACATCATTCCTGTCCTTATGGAGCACTGTCACAAGCCTGACTCCAAACTCTCCAGGCCCACTACCTTATAATGTTCAACAACAACAAACATGTCCAGACACACCTTAGCGTCTAGTTCTATGACCAACCTGAGTGTCCAGGTCTATGTAGGTGAAATCTCCATTGCAGATGGCTGTCTCTGTGTGGGCGTCCACTGTGAAATTGACCTGTCGACCGAAGCGCTTGATGGTGACGTAATGCCAGTGCTGGTCATCGAGTATGTTGCCAACGGTCATTGTGGTCCGACCGTCCACCTGGTTGACCGTACTGCTTCCTATGATAGGAGAACGGAAATGAATGACATAAGAATTTGAAAGGATGATGGGATTACTGCTGGGTAAAACTAACCCAATAGTCAAGCTCGCTCTGCAAAACAAGTTCTAGCTATAGCTATATGCCATTTAGCAGACGCTTTTCTCCAAAGCGACTTACAGTTACGTGTATATACATTTTTCTATAAATGTTTCCTTTAGAGAAGGTGGAGCTGAGGTAATGGCTATACCAACCTGAGTTCTCCTCACAGATACAGAAGCCTAGTGTCTATTTCAGCAGTAATGGAGGATCGACAGGGATATTCACGCCCTGTTTTTCATCCAGTAAAGATAATTAAATCTAATCTAGGAAACTAAATTCCTAAACCATATCCCAGCCTATCAGATTGTATAATCACCCCACAACATTAATATTCCTGTTCCTTGCCATTAGGCATTTCATTGTACCCCGTATCTTGTGTATATGACAATAAACAGATTTAATTTCCTTTGATTTGATACTTCACAGACCAACTGGTCAGAATGCTTCTTATCTGTCCTCCCTCTATGGCATAGAGAACTCTGACCAGTTTAGAGTCTCTGCCCAGCCATACCCCACACATCTTACCTAGGCCGATGGTGAGGACGAGGCGTCCTTTCTTCAGCTCCAGGGTCAAGACGTCTCCCTGGACTCCCTCACTGTGTAGCAGCAGCCCGTCCTGCTCCAGGGTCTTAAAGTTCACGGCAAAATGGTCCTGCAGGGTTCGGAACCTCTTCCCTGGAAACATGTAGGCTACCGAGTCGTCCCCGTTCATCTGCATCACGTAAGAATCTGGCCGAGAGAGAAGGGGAAAGTGTTTATATGTTAGAGGTTGAATGGCACATTTGTAGTCCTATGAAGATTCAAATAGTTAAGAGGCTCAAAAGTGTTCCTGTGAAATGGTGTAGATATATGTTTGATAGATACTGTTTGACGTTGGAGCCATTGAGTTGTGAGGGTTGACTCAATTGACTGTTGAGGTTAGTTACTGACTGTTAACTGTGTTAGTTGTATGACTGTTGAGTGTGGTATTGATTTGGCATTTACTGGTGGAGTGGTGCTTCATCAAGTGGGATTCATTAGGTTAGTAGCAGTTGGTGGATAGGTGTGGCGCAGCGGTCTAAGGCACTGCATCTCAGTGCTTGAGGCGTCACTACAGACCCCCTGTTGGCCCAGCGTCGTCCGGGTTTGGCCGGTGTAGGCCGTCATTGTAAATAAGAATTTGTTCTTAACTGATTTGCCTAGTTAAATAAAGGTTAAATAAAAATGAAGTATAGGGATGAATGTCCTACAGTAGTCTCTCTTGACAGACATTCATATACGCTAGCTATCTTGAGAGTTCGAAGAAGACTCCTACAGCAAATTATAGTTACAATGATGGTGAAAGGTGTCCTTACCGTAAGCACAGCCAAACACCTCCAGCCTGACACCGATCTTGCCTCCATTCTCTGTGTTCCACCCCAGGGGCAGGAGGCGGATGTGTTTGGCTGTGAAGGCGTAGTGGAACACATTCCTCTTCACCTGGTGGTAGTTCCAGTTCCCAGGCATCGTCTGTGAAGAGCAGAGAGAGAGAGAGAGAGAGAAGAAGAGTAATTCAGTCACTGTAGTGCAGTGTCGCCTGGCTCACCAAATTACTGCAGATGAACAGATGAAAGCAGATTAGTGTTGTCAGACACTCTCACTGAGGGATAATGCAATAATGGTGAACATTTCTTAAATTAACATGAAATCAAACAACCCACTGGGCACACACTGGTTGAATCAACGTTGTTTCCACGTTATTTCAATGAAATTATGTTGAAACAACGTGGAATAGACATTGATTTGAAGTCTGTGCCAAGAATTACACTAGAATCACTGTTTTTTGACCTGACAGTCCCCAACCTAAATGGATAGTTCACTCAAATGTCCTAATTCAATCATCTTCAGACCAGTCACTCCTAGCCTATAGACAACTTTCAAGCTGAGAACATATAACAAATAATTTGAGTAAACTATCCCCCCCCCCCCTACCGAGTTTCCTCCTTTCATGACGTAGGGTGTCCAGGAGTCGGGGCGGTCTCCATAGAGAAGGGTGTACTTGGTGACCCAGTCATAGGAATTGAAGGTGCCCTGAGTGGCGATGGCCTGGATGCGGTACTTCCTCTTCAGGTCGATCTGCAGCCAGGGCTGTCTGTCCCGGGGGGATGGGGACCAGCCACTGCTTCCTGGAGGAAGAACGCAACACACACACACACGTCATCAACCAGAACTCACACTCTGACTTCATTACACACAAAACACACACATAGATATAGGCAATATTCACACACTGGCCATGCATACACACACACACACACACAGTTCTCATCACACAGAACACACACATACTGTAGTTAATAGGCGATATACACAACAGAAAACATCCAATCACATACACAACACAAAATAGTCTACATAAAACAACAAATTCATCAATGAAGTAGTTAAGAAAAAGAAAACTAACCATACAATTTGGCAAAGTTGGCTGAGTACAAAAAGTTATATCTGGAAGAGGCCAAGAAGGAGTTGGCATAGAGCGAAGATACCAAGGGATCAACACATTCATCTAGAACAAAAGATGAGAGAGAGAGAAGAGGCGGTTAAACACAGAGATTACAGTAATTCTCAGACTACACAATACATCATTCTCCAAAACTGTTCAAATCACATGATAACATAAGGGATTTCAGCTGATCAAACCCCAACATGTCTAGTGGAGCCTCTCCTCACACAGATAAGGGACAGACTTTGGATTGCAACTAATTAGGCACTGCATAATCTGTACTGTAGTTGGGCACAAGCTAGGAACATTCAAAAAGTCTGATTACATTCAGAGGCATGAAAATAAAAGCACAGACTAATTAGGCCTCTCTGTGGTGTGCAGTAATAACCCTTCCAGAATATGACCTTCCATTTGCACAGTGCATGGTGCAGTCAACTGTAATGCTACAGTATAAAATGGCTCCTTAAAAACAGGTGGAGCTGTAGTGATGAATCGAATCATCGGTCCTAAGATCTCCTCCCAGATAAAGATACATAGACCTAGCTAATATCTTTATTTCAGCAGTAATGGATGGTGGATTGAGTCAGGCATGAAACCAGAAGCCAGTAAGTATTTTATTTCCACTGTGCCTGTGAGATGAATGATCATTATCAAGAAGAGAACCTCCACCCGTCCCCTTTTTATTGAGCTAAAGAAATAAATGTAATATGCAGAGGGCTTTCAGCATTGCAAACACATTTGGAAATGAAGAGTTCGAGTGTGTGTGTGTGTGTGTGTGTGTGTGTGTGTGTGTGTGTGTGTGTGTGTGTAATCATATGCATCTGTTTTGCATGATATACTATGCAGTTAATGATACTAACTGAGGCCCTGTCTGTCTCTCAGGGTGATAGCTGGTGTTATTCTACGGGTGCCTAGTGGACAGATAGCAGCAAAATAAATCAGAGGCGTCCCCTCATCGTCTCATCAACCGTCTGTCTCATCCGCCGTCCCCCATCCTCGATAAATACCCTCAGCAATTAGGAATCACTATAATTCTGCCTAATCTTGTCATTGGCACAGATAAACCCACTATGTCCTCGCCATGGTCGCTAGAAAACACTGCCTTATCTTCTGCAATGTCATAACATGTCTGTTACTCCTCCTCCCAGCTCAGAGTCATGTACATAGGTAGGAAAGGAATAGACAGATGGACAAACAGGCTGAGAAGATGGAGAGAAAAAAACGACAAGGGGGGAAAGAAAGAGAGACACAAATCTCACAGTAGAAAACAGATCTGGGAGGCTAAAACAATGCTCCGCCCCCCACCGTCATGTCTTGGAGTAATCCTCTCCATGACACAAAACTAGTTTCCCCATTGTAGCTTCTATTAATACAGTATACTCTGAGCTCAAACTGATGAGGGAGGGAGACAGGGAGCGACAGAGAGAGGTCGAGAAAAAGGGAGACTAGTTAGTATTCAGGCTGCAGAGGGAGGGAGGAGGGAAGGGATGGAGGGATGGAGGGAGGTGAGTGAGGGTGCAGACTCTTTTAGAACAGCTCTTGAAGAGGGAGAAAATAAATGGAGCGTCGGAGCGTCGGAGCGGAAGAGCTCAAACATTAAAAACTGTAAGGGGATAACCTCAGCTGAAGAATAAAACCTTCTCTCTGTACACAGTCTGTGAGACAGCATCATTGAACTGGTCAGGCAGAGAGGTCCTTGTCATAACAGTCAGGAGTAGACTATGCCACCCACTCTGAGCCTAAACACCTTCCATTCCATTTCCCACCGTCACAACAGCTCAATCTGTCACGGGACCGTGAACGCTGTCATCCAAGGACAAGTCCATTCGGGTGGAAAGAAATCAGCTGAGCCAGAGAAATGTGCTGCCTTTGACCTTGAGTGTTATAGTATAGTGTCTCTGTCTGGGTAACTGAGTCTGGACTGGGTGACCTTTCTGGCCATGTCCCGTGATCCTCTCCTGCAGACATTACAGACTGAGAACACACTGTTACTGCAGTACGTCATGAAGTACAATACTCTGCTGCCTATAGTTTGTTTGTCAAGTCAATGATTCTTCAGCTAACTCCAACAACAAAGCCTATAACCCTACACTAATAGAAGTTCAAGTTTACTTCCAGTTTAAGGTACATAGATTTTTGTTAATTTCCCTGGTGAGCAGTATAGAGGGTTGTAGAGGGTGGAGAAGAACTACAGGTATTAAAGGCATAGAGAAAGGCAGAGAGCCAATAGGACTACGGTAGGTTAACCCAGGCCTTGCCACTCAAGGCAGAGAGCAAATAGGACTACTGTAGGTTAACCCAGGCCTTGCCACTCAAGGCAGAGAGCAAATAGGACTACTGGAGGTTAACCCAGGCCTTGCCACTCAAGGCAGAGAGCAAATAGGACTACTGTAGGTTAACCCAGGCCTTGCCACTCAAGGCAGAGAGCAAATAGGACTACTGGAGGTTAACCCAGGCCTTGCCACTCAAGGCAGAGAGCAATAGGACTACTGTAGGTTAACCCAGGCTGCCACTAAGAGACATACTGTAGAACCAGCGCCACAGGCAGAGAGCAATAGGATCCCTTCCACGCCACTATGAAGGACTTCTCGCTCTTCCATCCATCCGACTGCAAAACTCCCTACCTCTTCTCACTAGAACATCTCCATCACTCTTCTCTTTCGCCTCCTTCTCTTCTATTCTAACTCAAGCTCATCGTGATCTCTTCATCTCGCTATCTCTATCTCTATCTCTCATTATCTCTCTCCTCTCTCCTCTCTACTCCTTGAGCCAAAAATCATGAGGGAGCTCTTTACCTTACACCATCCCTCTCTCTTCCTCTCATTTGATCTCAAATACCTCTCGAGTTGGCGTCGCTGTGTCGCAGTTACTAAAATATGTACCCAGAGCGTCGAGAACATTCACCCCCGCTTCTCGTCAAGGTCCTATCGCAGCGCTCGCGCGAAAGAAGCCACTCTGCTAGCGCTCACTGCTATCGCGTCTCGACGAGTGTCACCGTCACCTTCTCAGCGCCACCGCGGGCGTCTCTCTCGTCGCTCTAGCGACCTCGCTATGTATCTGTCACTATCTTCTCTCCTCTCTCCTCTCTCTCTCTCTCTCTCTCTCTCTCTCTCTCTCCGTCTCTAAACCACCACCAGGGGTTCTCTCAATCCAACTATCATTAAGGGAATGGCTTGGCTCAGTTGGCTGTAACTGTGAAGAGCTGCTGCCGGCCTATCAGAGATGCTGACGCATCAGTCTAGTGTTACTGTGGGGTGGAGAGGCTGCATGGGGCTGGGGCTGTCTGGGCTGACACATCACAATTGTTGTGCATATTGAAACAGCCTCCTCCGGACACATCATGCAGTGGCCCATGATAAACGATGTACAGTGTGATGAATATCTGGGCTTTTCAGGGATCTTTGCTTTAGGATCTCTCATTCATTTATGGTTTGGAGACACGAATCCTAATGTTAAATGCCTGAATTTTTTGTATTGGGATTGTGTGGCACACAGAGTGGAAGGCAGGTTGCGTGTTAGAGTACAGACTGTGAATTATTCATAGCCAAAGTCAGGCCTCACAGTGGGGAGAGTCTGCCTGCCAACAGGGAGGACAGAGGGAAAGTAAAAAGTAAGCAAAATATGAAAGACATCAAAGTCCCAAACCATCTCATATACAGGACCATCATCCCACAGCATCCCGCATCTGTCTAAGAATAGAACAGAACAAAGTTTCCACATTGGTGCACCTCTATCCTCCGTATCAATTCCCCTCACTCACACTCACTCACACACACACACACACACACAGACACACACACACCACATGTCCCAACTAGTCTCTGTGAGGAATGGAGATGCACACCAAGACGGAACAACACACATCAGTACACACACACACAAACAGATACATACACATTTTCACAGTAATAAACACATACACACACCACAGGAGGCTGCTGAGGGACGAACAGCTCATAATAATGGCTGGAACGGAGCAAATCGAATGGCATCAAAATGGAAACCATGTGTTTGATGTATTTGATACCATTCCACTGATTCCGCTCCAGTCATTACCACAAGCCAATTCTCTCCAATTAAGGTGCCACCAACCTCCTGTGACACACACACACACACACACACACACACACAGCTGCAAGGGCAGTAGCATAGTAGGAGTGCCCCAGCAATGCTGTGTGTTAGCCCCACCCCAGATGAGCATGTCCCAGGAATGGAGTCTCCATTTTAATCTGGCTCAGTTACACTGTGTACATCACATCCCATCTACAAAAGATTTACAGTATATGCTTGGCTGCCTGCCTGCCTGCCTGACTCACAGCCTGAGTCGTGGGCACTGCTTCATATGCCTGCCACCACCCAGATACACAGGCCGGCAGGCCAAACCACAGGAGTAAAACACCACGACACCATCACAGTAAAGCAGTCAGCTTCCAAACACAGTAGTTTGATACTGCATCCCTAATAGCCAGTACTTACAACCAACTTCCCTCAATACTGAAGGCATACAGTAGTAACACAATAGACCACAGAACAAAATGCTAAATACTCTACTGGTGTAAACACATCTAGAAAAACTGACCAGTGTGGTTACCCCAACACACACATGGATACCATAACCCCACCTAGTTCCCCAAAATGGAATCCATGTGACACCACAAAAAAAAATACAATTCACACTACATGACCATAACAAGTGTTCACAATGTATTTATACAACCAAATGTACCAGACATAGACATACAGTACAACTCACCACAATATCACACCCAAATGTCCCAGATATTTAATTCCCACCTTAATCACTCTATCTGTCCAGCAGCCAGGATAGCCTGCCTGGGTGATCCTCTTACAGTAGGCTAACACCGCCACAGCACCAAGAGGGCACTGGGGCACTAAGTACTCACTAGTAATCACTAATATAGCCTAGAGAGAGAAAAACACACTACCTGCCCTGTTTACTGTACTGTATGCAGTGATATGAAGTGAATTAACAAAGTTTATACCTTTACATGGTACATTCACATATCATGGTGTCAGGTGGTCCTAGCCCACCGTCCCCCTCTCTCTCCCTACACCCTACCTCCCTTTCCCTCCCCACCACCCTATCTATTTTTTTTTTTTAAACAGCTTGGTGATGAGTCACGCTGCAGCCTTTAATTCATTCATGATCAATGGAGTTCAGATTTGCTGAGGTAATCGTCTCGACATTGATTTAAGGAAAAACACACCACCAAGTTTTTTCTCCACATGCATCTCAAATCCATCTTCATATGACCTTGCATGTTATACCCTCCTGTACAACCACATCAAAAGCGACAATTAAAAAACAATATACATCATTGATCACGGAATTCCTATTAGGAATTTTTGCCGCGTCATGCGTGTTCCTAGATGAAGGAGACATTGGGCTCGTGGACAGGTGATGAGCACACACTCTGCGAAAGTACTGCATTGGGGTGGTCCCGCACGCGGCAGGCAGGTTAGGACACGGCTCTATTAATTCCTGCTGCTTTTACAGATAAGAAACCACATTTTCAGAGCCATCATTATCATACAGTTTGGGATATTCTCTACGACACAGTGGTTATTTGACATGACCGTAACAGAGTGCTAGAGAGGTGGCCGGGAAATGAACCATGCGATGCAGAAACTTGCACGCTGGCGCGAGAAAGCACTGCAATGCAGAAAGCCCCGTGCGAGACTGTAACCGCCGCGCGCCCTCAGTCCATGCCACTTCACTTATCTCAGAATTCAACGCAAAAATATATAGAATATGAAACTGTGTAAAATATAACAGCCATCGTGAACCCTTATACAATGTTTTGATGATTATTGGTCATTTTAAATCAGATGTTCTGCCCTTCAAAGATGCACCTATTGCCCAGAGCTTTTAGCCACTTCTATCTTGATTCACATTTTTACAATGAATCCCCTTTTTATGTCAATATTGTTATCAATATGCTGCATATACAGGCTTAGGCTATTTAATTCATCTGACAGCAATTGGCTAAGAAATGACAAGACACTGACAGAAATTACCATTACTGTTTCACAAGACTTACGTGATGAGCACTCTTGAAAACCCCAAAATAAAAGGCTTATGCTCAATATTTTGCAAATCATCCTTTACAGAGGACAAGCGTCTCCGCACATGCTCTGTTAATTAGATCGTAGATTGTGTTCTCCTCTCCACAGGGCACGGTAGCATCCTTTCACCCCCCTTTTCCCAACTTTAACTCGCGCAGTTCCAACTCCTCTTCCCGGGATCTCGGGTAGCCTCTGCCGGGGACGGGGACGCGCATCAGTTACTGGTGCTGATGCTGCGCTTCACCGAGAGCGCGCACTGCTAGGCTATATTTTATGTAAATTGTTTTTAATAACGGTCACATATAGGGGACAAATTTCCAAGTGATCATTGTGATCACTTTGTGGATTTGAAATACTGGCAACGCATGCTTTGACACTGTGACTTCAGTAGCTCCTCCAGAATTCCGCGTAGTTTTTGGTCCAGAGGAAGGAAGGTGGGAAGGAAGGGAGGGGTGGATGAAAAAAAAACTTTTTGGGTCCAGCAGGCTACTTCTGTTTCCCAGTAGAGAATTTGAATGCTATACGTTTGACTTTGTTGTCAATAGTTCCGCAAATATACCTAGTCAGTAGTTTAGTAACCCAGGATTTATGCGATTCGTTTCACCGTTGTAGAATAAGGTTGTTCCTTTCCCGCATCGTTACACTCGCATATTGCTTTGGTTTGGCATCTCCCATATTCAATCAGTGGGCTTGGCATGCGGTACTTCTCACGGCCTCGCACTGGTCATGGGAGCACTGAGCCTATCAGAGAGCATCATCAATTTGGTCAAAAGCCTCTTCCTCCCCTGAGACCAAAAGTCAGATGACGATTATAATAACGATTACAATGTCTGTCGTTGCTCCCTAATAATGTGTTCGAGACTAATACTGTACTGTACAAGAGAGAGTAGCCTACAGAAGGCTACACCACAACCAGTTATGTGGAGGACTGACCTTGACCTACAATAGGGTCCTGAATAGGTACCAACAAAGTTACAGGAGACTGATGATGTGTGGCCCAGGTTTAGTGACTGCCAGTTTGTGGCTGATGCTGAGACAGGCATAGGCAGAGAGAACAGGGTGGGGGCGGGGTGGTAGGATTGACTAGCGGGTTTATCTATGACATGCGTGGCACACTGGCCATGAACTAAAAAGGCTTTGAGATTAAGAAATGGGTTTATGGGACAGTGGGCAGCAGCAGTGTCAGTGCCGGGATGGGGTGAGATTGGACGTCGAGGCCAGCGTGGGATTTGCATTTTCAATCAAATCAGATTGGCATTTTGTAATCTCTCTGCCTCCACCTCCCCCAGCAATACCATAACATACTATATACCTCTGTAAATTGAATATATGAAGCCTTACTAGAGTCTTTCTCCCATAATGTATAAGAATAATCTGAGCGATGAGGAATAGATAACTAGGCAAGGTCAGGAAGGAATTATTTACAATGAGCCTCCCCCAAAACAGATAGCGGTCCTAGTTGTTTTTTATTCCCACTATTGCTTGTGATAAAGCCAAAATCACCTTGGTTTTCAAAATGCATGTATCACTGAGTGGATTGGTTATATCCATCAGCAGCCTGGTTTGTCAACAACAGTGAGAAAAATAGAGGTATGGGCCGTACGGCCAAGGCAGATTAGATCAAACCTAAAAGTCATCAATTAAAAAACATAACACACACACAAACACACACACACACACACACACACACACACACACACACACACACACACACAAACTCACACACACACACACACACACACACACACACACACACACACTAGAAAGCGTTAATCTCTCTCATTCACACACAGGCGTATACATTCAGGTTGGGGTCAGGGGTCAAACTGAATGCAACATCCATCTTGATTACCGTCTGTTTCCAGGGTGACCTTGACCTGTCTCTTCTTACAGTTTGTGGTGAATTTTCAAAACTCTTAGTACAAAACTCTAAACTGTTAACACCTGGTAACGCAGCCGGTCTTACATTCAAAACCTTTCATTGTGCATTCATTTTGTTTGGAGACATCTTTCACCACACAACCATTGATCCGAAATATATACGTTTACTGTTAAATATAATGAGTACATTGGTTTAATCACCAAAACACAACATAATGATATCTTCTCAATGTAGTTATCTTAATAACCCGTTAATAAATAGTAAAAATGTAAGGTAAATGTTTCAAAATTGCTATTTGAATGTAGTATGCTACAGTACTGTACATTACAGTACATTACACTGTTTTCACATTAGACAATACACTTGCACTACCCATTAAAAGTGACTGAACATCAAATTAGCATACATTTTATCCCATGTGTGATCCTTGAAGACATCTTTCACAATGTACACTATATATATATATATACAAAAGTATGTGGACACCCCTTCAAAATAGTGGATTTGGCTATTTCAGCCACACCCATTGCTGACAGGTGTATAAAATTGAGCACACCACCATGCAATCTCCATAGACAAACATTGGCAGTAGAATGGCCTTACTGAAGAGCTCAGTGATTTTCAACGTGACACCATCATAGGATGCCACCTTTCCAACAAGTCAGTTTGTCAAATTTCTGCCCTGCTAGAGCTGCCCCAGTCAAATGTAAGTGCTGTTATTGTGAAGTGGAAATGTCTAGGAGCAACAACGGCTCAGCCGCGAAGTGGTAGGCCACACAAACTCATAGAACAGGACCGCGAGTGCTGAAAATCATCTGTCCTCCAAACTGCCTCTGGAAGCAACGTCAGCACAATAACTGTTAGTCTGGAGCTTCATGAAATGGGTTTCCATGGCCGAGCAGCCGTACACAAGCCTAAGATCACCATGTGCAATGCCAAGCGTCAGCTGGAGTGGTGTAAAGCTCGCCGCCATTGGACTCTGGAGCAGTGGAATTGCGTTCTCTGGAGTGATGAATCACGCTTCACCATCTGGCAGTCAGACAGATGAATCTGGGTTTGGCTAATGCCAGGAAAACACTACCTGCCCGAATGCATAGTGCCAACTGTTAAGTTTGGTGGAGGAGGAATAATGCTCTGGGGCTGTTTTTCATGGTTTGGGCTAGGCCCCTTAGTACCAGTGAAGGGGAATCTTAACGCTACAGCATACAATGGCATTCTAGACGATTTTGTGCTTCCAACATTGTGGCAAAACTTTGGGAAAGTGAGGTCCATACAGAAATGGTTTGTCAAGATCAGTGTGGAAGAACTTCACTGGCCTGCACAGAGCCCTGACCTCAACCCCATCGAACACCTTTGTAATGAATTGGAACACCAACTGCGAGCCAGGCCTAATTTCCCAACATCAGTGCCCGACCTCACTAATGCTCTTGTGGTTGAATGGAAGCAAGTCCCCGCAGCAATGTTCCAACATCTAGTGGAAAGCCTTCCCAGAAGAGTGGAGGCTGCTATAGCAGCAAAGGGGGGACCAACTCCATATTAATGCCCATGATTTTGGAATGAGATGTTCGACGAGCAGGTGTCCACATACTTTTGGTAATGTAGTGTACCTTAAAAAAAGGTAGGGGCGTGGATCAGAAAACCAGTCAGTATCTGGTGTGACCACCATTTGCCTTATGCAGTGCGACACATCTCCTTCGCATAGAGTTGATCAGGCTGTTGATTGTGGCCTGTGGAATGTTATCCCACTTCTCTTCAATGGCTGAGCGAAGTTGCTTGATGTTGGCGGGAACTGGAACACGCTGTCGTACACTTCGATCCAGAGCATCCCAAACATGCTCAATGGGTGACATGTCTGGTGAGTATGCAGGCCATGGAAGATTTGGGACATTTCCAGTTTCCAGGAATTGTGTACAGATCCTTACGACATGGGGCCGTGCATTATCATGCTGAAACATGAGGTGATGGCGGCGGATGAATGGCACGACAATGGGCCTCAGGACCTCATCACGGTATCTCTGTGCATTCAAATTGCCATAGATATAATGCAATTGTGTTTGTTGTCCGTAGCTTATGCCTGCCCATAACATAACCCCACCGCCACCATGGGGCACTCTGTTCACAACGTTGACATCAGCAAACCGCTCGCCCACACAACGCCATACACAATGTCTGCGGTTGTGAGGCCGGTTTAAATGACGTTGGAGGCGGCTTTTTTTGTTGTTGAAATTAACATTAAATTCTCTGGCAACAGCTCTGGTGGACATTCCTGTATTCAGCATGCCAATTGCACGCTCCCTCAAAACCTGAGACATCTGTGGCATTGTGTTGTGTGACAAAACTGCACATTTTAGAGTGGCCTTTTATTGTCCCCAGCACAAGGTGCACCTGTGTAATGATCATGCTGTTTAATCAGCTTCTTGATATGCCACACCTGTCAGATGGATGGATTATCTTAGCAAAGGAGAAAGGCTCACTAACAGGGATGTAAATAATTGTGCATATCGAACATTTCTGGAATATTTTATTTCAGCTCATGAAACATGGGACCAACACTTTTCATGTTGCGTTTATATTTTTGTTCAGTATAGTATACTGGTCTATGACTGGCCCAGGGGATATTAATTGAACCATAGGGACTTTACACTCAAGTTTATGTTACATGGCACAGTTCTTAAAAGTAATGGATCAACCTCTTAACAAACCGTTTCATAGAGCCTCATCAGACCTATATGTCCCACCGACATCAAACCTAAATGTCCCACCGACTTCATACCTAAATGTCCCACAGACATCATACCTAAATGTACCACAGACATCATACCTAAATGTCCCACCGACATCATACAAAAATGTTGCTCCAAGGACATCATATAAAATAATCAACATTCCAAAATATGTTTTGAAGGCAGTTATACTGCCTACTGAAATTGACTACGATTTACTTGATCAATGTATTCATTTGTATAAAGGCAGCCCTCCGCAACTCTCTGATTCAGAGGGGTTGGGTTAAATGCGGAAGACACATTTCAGTATAGCATTAATAATGTCAGTCTAGGATTCAACGTTACATTCTTGTGTTATACATCAACCGACCACTAGATGTCAATTGAGGCTCAATGTTAAAGCTCAGTCCCTGAAGGACACATGCTGTCCACATCTCACCCTATCTATTCATCACTAGACTTTATTCTCCCCCTCTAAAATGTTCCTTTTTACTGCCACTAGGAAATGTATGAAAACTGAACACACTCGATGAATAATGGGCAAATAGCTACTGGGTCAATATGCTATGTGCCAACTTCAAAATCCCAAGTTCCTTCTTGTAAAGCAGTAATATTCTAAGATTATACGTTTTAAAATTAT